TATGGCATATACCATGACAGGGGAATAGAGGTATTAGTGGAGCATAAAGCAGAGGACTTAAGATGAGAAAGAGGGTGTTACCAAATTAGGGGATTTGTGGTACGAATTCATGAAAAAGCTGCTTGCCTTGCAGGCTCCTGCTCAGACCCATGCTACCCTCAGCCAGTTGTGGTGAAGCACACTGGTTGGATTTACTGAAGGAGGCAGAGGCAGGAGGATCCCAAGTTTGAGGTCAGCCTAGGACGCTTGCTAAGGAGAAGTTTTGGCCCAGGACCTGGCCCCAAACAGTGGCGGTGGAACTATGGAGGCAGCGGCTGCTGCTGTGAGTTGCTGGCTCCTTCTCATTGTGTTGGTGACTGCGGTGATGCTGCTACCTAGGACAAAGAGTTTACTGCTGTTTGTTCAGAGAAGAATTGCCAGGAACATCATGTTACAAGAAAGCATCAGCAAAGGTCAGTTTGAAAAGTTTGGCGAGACAAATGGTGGGGAGAAATTGCTGTGAAGATATTCTCTTCTAGGGAAGAACATTTATGGTTCCAAGAGACAGACATTTATCAGACTGTGATTGCTCCAAACCACAGAGGAGGCACAAAAAAAAAAAGTCTGCAGTGAACCATGACCACGCCTAACAGTGACTTTGAAATCTTCAAAAAGACAACAGGACTCCACAATGATGATTCCACTATGGTAAAGCCATTAAGCTGATTAACACCACCAAAAGATTGACTTTGGACTACAAACTACTCAGGACAATTTTGAGATGGCTAGCTGAGATGATCCAGCCTGACAGACTACTTGAACAAGGACTTGAAACAAGCCCTGCACTTTCTCATTATGCAGTGGCTGGACAAATGATACAGGACTTGACAATCAACCCCAAAATTTTCTTTTCAGGATCCCCTAAAGATGGAAGCAATTTTAAGAAAACGACGCCCACATTCCCTAGAGGTGGGATGGGAGGTTTTGGTCGTTTAATGAGTTATGGATATTGTCATTGTTTATGATGGTTGGTTACAAGTTGTTAATTGTTAATGGTCAGGAAAAAAGCTGAACATGGAGATTAGATTCAGAGGTTTTGTTTAAAAATGAAGGAAAAAAGAGAAAAGAATATAGATATGAGATAGATCACTGAATCTATTCTGAGAAAAAAGATAAAGAATAGTAGGATAAATGGGTAGATCACTGAATGTACACTAAAAAGAAAAAGAGGAAGATATAAAAATGACAAAAGGTAGATTACTGAATCTATTATGAAAAGAAAAATACTTTTAAAAAGGAATTACTTGTTTTAAATAAGATAAGTAATGAAAATTTTTTGTCTGAATTTGTCAAATGTTACTGGACTGGACATTGTTATATATTAATGGAGTTTTTTGTCTGAATCTGTCAAATGTTAATGGACTAGACATCGTTAATGTAATCTTGACTGTGTATATTGTATATACTTATTGGACATAATTTTTCTTGTATTAGTTATAAGCTTTTTTTAAATTTTAGACAAAAAAGGGGAAATATGGTGGTATTGTGTTCCCCAAAATATTGTGCACCCTAATAGACTTATCTGGGGTCAGAAACAGAACAACCACTAGATACAAAGGGTAGAAAATGGTGGCACACACACCTTTAATCCTAGCATTCCAGAGGTAGAAATCCCTCTGGATCTCTGTGAGTTCAAGGCCACACTGGAAACAGCCAGGCATGGTGACACACGCCTTTAATCCCAGAAAGCCAGCCTTTAATCCCAGGGAGTGGTGGTAGAAAGCAGAAAGATATATAAGGCGTGAAGACCAGAAATAAGCAGCATTTGGCTGGTTAAGCTTTCAGGCTTTCGAGCAGCACAGTTCAGCTGAGAGCCATTTGGATAGGAGGACACAGAGGGTTCCAGTCTGAGGAAACAAGACCAGCTGAGAAGTTGGCCAGGTGAGGTTAGCTGTGGCTTGTTCTGTCTCTCTGACCATCCAGCATTTCACCCCAATAACTGACCCCGGGTTTGATTTTATTAATAAGAACTTTTAAGATTCATGCTACAGAGCATAAAGCAGAGGACTTAAGATGAGAAAGAGGGTGTTACCAAATTAAGGGATTCAGCCTGTGTCCCAACAAGTCAGCTTCAGCCACCCATCTCCAATGAAAGAGCCAAATTAATAGTGAAACACAGAAAAAGATGTTTAATATGGTCATACTGAGAAGAGGGATAAAGGAATCCAGCAAACCATGCCCCCAAAGTCTACTTTTGAGGTCCTGCCATGAGGGTAGGGTTTAAATAGATAGCAAGAGATATGTGTGACTAAGCAGTCCAGACAGTTACAAGGGGAAAGCTTTATGGAAGGAAGGCAACACTTGTTGCATGGCAATAGGAAGATGTGTTAGTTCTTTTCTGTTTCTTTGTCTTCATTACCACAGCTCCTTGACAGAGTCTGAAACATGAGCTACTTCAGTTTCTCATGCAAAAGCAATAGTTTTTTCCATCTGAATGTCCTTCAGCCTTGTTCCCTTTAGTTGCATGAGCTAGCCCCTTGGCCTTTTAACCTTTCATGGTGTTTGGCTTCTGTCCCAGTGAATTTTTTTTTCAAATGTGTCTATGAGGGACACCCTAGAATCCAAACTGAACTATTTTCCACCCATAGTTTACTAGATCACTTGTTCCTTGAAATGACCTCTTCCCTTAACTGCCACCATGCAATTATTCGTTTCTGTACTTCTTCCTAAATCTGCCTCTTCAAATATTGGTGCTCATCACATTTCTCCAATTACTGGGCAATGTCATCCTCCTCTTTGGTTTTTGTCCTCATGTCTGTTTTTCTTACTTCTTCTGTGAGCCCCATGCTTAAATTTAGCATTGCATCAAAACACTTTATCAAACACAGCATATCTCAAACCCATCCATCTCACCACTCTGACTTGATTCACTGTTGACACGTCCTATGTCAGACAAGGAAGCAGGAAGCAGAAACTTCAGTCTAGACTGAGCACCACTACTCTGGAAACCAAGAACAGCTCCAAGACCCAAAGCTGCATTTTTTCCCTTTTCTTTTCTTTTTCATGTTTCCAGCCACAGACTCTTGATTCTTTTAAAATCTGTATCTCTACTTATCTCTACACCAGGTTCAGTGCCCATCAGGTCGAACATAGTAGCCTCAAACTGGCCTTTTCATGCTAGGCCTTGTGCCCCCTAATCAACCCTTCACATAGGAACTGCACCTACCTTTTTGTCTTCTTCTTCCAGGCTTGGGTATATTGCAATCTAGGCATTTCAATTTTCATGGAATTCTACACATTGCATCACATTTCATGCATTAGAAGCTTCTACGCTGTTCTTTTGTCTGTGAAGAGTTGCTTTTGTTTTACCATTCATATATCCCTAAATAAGAATTACTTTTGAACTTACATGATTGAAATATTACAGTCTTTGTGTCTGGTTTCTTTTAGTTAACATACTTATGGAATTCATCAATGTGATGTGTGGTCATAGTTACATGGTGATTTTATCCTGGTATGCAGTATTCTGTTGTTAAGAGTATGCCACAACTTATCTGGCCCACTATAGCTAGATACTTATTTCTAGCTTGTTTTTGGCTATAACCAAAAACGCTTCTCTGAACACGATGTGTATTTTTCTCATTCAGCAGTAGAAATACCATGTCAAAGGGTGCCATTTCGACTTACCAAGTAATACCAACTGTTCTCCAAAGTATTATACCAGAGCTCCTAGCGGCCAATGCTTCTGATTTGGCAGACTTTTAATGTTTGCAAACATTACCAGGCCTGAGGAGAAAAGCCTATAATCCAGATATTTATGAGGCAGAGGCATGAAGATTGCAAGTCCCAAATTTACCTGGGCAACTTAGTAAGATCTTATTTCAAAATAAAGTATTAAAATTTGGGGCTGTGACTCAGTGGTAAAGTACTTAACAGGCCCTAGGGTCAATTCCTGGAACAAAACAAGGGTAATGATACAAGGGTGTGGCATAATATCTCATTGTGGCTTCAATGTATATTTCAGATGAAAGGTGTGGTTAAGTTTCTCTTTTAAAAAAAACAGAATCTTTAAGAAAATTCTTCTATACTATACATTTAAGGAACACAGTAGGGTTTTGAACAGATTCATAGAGATGGTTATCATATTCAAAAAAATCTCATAGTTATCCTGCTTTTGACAAGACTCCTAACTCTAAGAGCAAATCTCAAATATATTAATAACTACAAGTCCTTATGTTATACATTAGACTTCCGATTTCTCTACTCTACAAGTTTGTTTGTTTGTTTATTTATTTATTTATACTATGGTATAAATGTAAACTGATTTAAAACTCTAGAAGTTTGTTTTTATAGACAGTTTTCTTTAATCACCATTGGTGATTATGCATCATACATACATATATCATCAGCAAGTTCTGTGCTGGCAGGAGATGTGGCTTAGTTGGTAGAGTCCCTAAATGCAGGGAGCTCTAAATTCAATCCCCAACACTGAATAAAAACTGGGCATAGTAGCATATCCTAGTGTTTCAGAAGTGGAGGCAGGAGTGTCAAGAATTCAAAGTTATGCAGCTACAGCAGGACAGCCTGGAGACTCCATTTTAATTTTTTTTCAGAGTGGATTTCTGCTACCTTGTCAAGGTGAGATGTTTTCTATCCTCTGTTCCAGGTGTATATATGTATGAAGTGAACTGGCATCAGTGTGCATTTTCCTAAAGGTCTCCAGATATGTCCATCAGTAGTAAATTCATTTGGCCATTTATCAGACAGAAATGGAAATAAGCTGTTTGTGACAGTGTATGACTGTGAGATGGAGGCAGGAGGATCAGGAGTTCAAGGCCAGTTTTGGTGACACAGTAAGTTGGAGGCCAACCTAAGCTATATGAGACTTTAGGTCAAATGACAACCAAAAGAGAAAACAAATGTTGCTACTATGATTAAAAAAAAATGTGACGTAGATCCAGAAAAAGAAAATAAGCAAATAAGATGGGTACCATGCACATCTTAAACACACACAGTTATATCCCTGGAAATTGTTAGGTTTTATTTAATACATTTATTACAGCAGTTCTTTAATATTTTTTGTCATGAAAATGTTTTCATGAAATTTTACAAAGTCCTTTGAACTATTAGTAATAGCATTCTTTTCTTTTTATAGAGTGACACTTTTTTAATTTATGAAATATTTACAGCATTTACAAAAAGCAAAAGAATATCTAATACTTTTTTATACTTACAAAGTTCATACATTACACTACTATATTTGAGATGTCTTATTGGGTAAACTGGTAAGCTAAGACATATAATAATTTACAATGATAAATTTAATCTCTCTTAATTCACTGAAAACAAAACCATATTAGCTATAAATAATCTTTATAAATTACTGTAAAACATTAATTGCTTTAGCTCTAGCTTTAGCTTTTACAAATATATTTATGAAATGAATTAGTTCAGATATCAAATAGAACTGTGCATTTAAAATTTCACTTCATACTATAAAACAAAATGAAAAAATAAACTGCCCAGTATTTCAAGTAACAATGTGCAGAGCCAGTTTTTATACATGCACATGGAGGAGGAACCCAACACCATTTAAACAGAGATACATAAACAGAATACTTTTAAGAATACACTAAAAAATGTACACCTGGGGCATTATTTTAAAGAAAGATGCTCTAGCCATAGCTCATCCATCCAAGACGGTAAAACCTACACTTTGGCAGATAAGCTGCACTGACTAGAGGTGTGTTTGCAAAAATATTTACCTAAGCAGCAGAAGGCAGCTGACATCCTCACACAGTGCTATATTTGGGGGTTGCCTCAACCTGAGCATGACTCAGTGTTAGACAAGCTCATGGGGGAATTTAGAAAGCAAAGCTGGCAAAGTTAAGGAGAAAAATCAAACCACATCACTTTTAAAAAAAAATATAAAAATATGTTTCTCTTGGAAAAATGATGGGAGAACCTTTTATTTTCAAAATTTCAAAATGATGAAATGCTCATCTTTTTTTCTTACATTACCACTTATGGTGGTATAAAAATTAGCAATTATTTCAATGCCTTGCTCTTGGAATCAGCCGAGGAAGCAGAGTGCAATTTGGCTTTGGCAGTAATACCCAACTTTCACATTTGGATTCATTTTAGATAATCCAGAGCAACTGTTATAAGCAGCTGTAGTAAAATCCATTTTACAAACACATTTCCCCCCTGGATTTAAAATAATGTTTCAATTAAGCCCACAAAATACATATTGTATATGTAGCATTTATATAGAGGTAAATTAAATTTAAATTTTTATCCTAGTAAAAGTGCTTTGTAAAAAATTGTGAGGATTTTCCAGAACCCACTCGACTCCTTTCTTCGAATTGCCACACAGACACCGTAGATTTCTTGTAATATGTATTACAGAAGGCACATACTCAAGAGTCTAAGATGTTAGTTTAACTTCTAAATGGAGGCAGATATTTTAAATCTACTTTGTACACATGCCCAAAATGAAAGTCAACTATTTCACTTATCTAGAGCTCAAGTGCAGTGCCAGTGATCCCCTCAGAAGTGAGTTTTCACATGAGGCATCATCTGTGAGGAACTGGAAGGCGAAGCAGGGGGGTCAGAAAGCTTGGTAGAGTTGGCAAGCTGCAATTCCTCAAGCCTCTTTATATATTCATCACGCAAGGCCAAGAGCTCCATGTAACGCTGCTCAACTGGGTTGGGCTGCTACAAAAAAAAAAAAAAAAAAAAAAAAAAAAAAAACCAAAAAAACAAAAAAAAAAAACAACGAAAAACAAAAACAAAACAAAAAAAACATAGACACAAGTTATATTTCATGCCAGCGATGCCATCTGCCCACTGCCTTCATATTAACCCCCCTTTACTAAGAACTGACATACACACATACTTTCCTTGCACATTGCACCATGGATATATAGGGGAAAACAGCTAGAGTCCTAAAACACACAGCTAACTTTTCACCAATGGGAAACAGAGTGCACACACTTCTTCACACTTGCATGGCCACCTCTAAGCATTTATCAGCCTAGAAACAGCTTCAGATTTCTGTACTGTCCATTCCTAGATCGACTGCCCTTTTTCATTCTGAAAGACAATTCTTCACAATTTGGTGTGAGGCTTTCCTTTCTATGTAGACTTGTGACACTTTTCCTAGAGGTGAGTATCCAGAAACAAATTACACTATTACTTTATATTTTTTAAAATTTATGTAACTGATAGCACTGTGTATTTGGTGAATGGCATTTGGCTCACTGTTGTGCTTTCTAAATTCTGTCACTGTTGAGTCCCACTTACAGAATAAACCAGTTAACACAGCCATGCCATGCTGAGGGCTCTTCAATGGTATATACAATGGTTTACTGAGTGTCTTCCTACATATATACTCATGTACATATCTGATGGATCTTTCTAGACCTGAAGTCTCTGAAGAGTAGAGTACAGTCTCTTTGACTTCAACACATGCTGCAGAATCATCTTTGATATGTGGCCATGGCCCAGGGCTCCTGCCAGTGATGCCTGGCATTTCCTGTTGCTCCACTTTCTCACCAGAAATTCGGAGCTTAAGACTTTGTGCCAACTTGAGGGCTATTCTGTTGTATGTCATGGAAGTCTGTGCCCATACTGCTCTGCAAAATCATCTTACCATGAGCTTACTCTCTGAGTGAATACACATCTGAATGCAGCATCACTCACAACCTCTGGCCTGGGGGTCAACTCCCACTTTGCCCCTTCCCAGCTGTGTAACAAGTTTCTGTATGCCTCTATCAACCTCTCTGTACAAATGAGCAAGACCACAGCACAGCCCTTCTGGTATTGTTCTGAGGGTGCCATGAGTCTGTGTCACTGCAATTCCTTTTAGCAGTCAACAGGGGATTGATGTTGGCATAAAGGCACAATGGGATCTTTCCCAGCATGTTCATTTCTGTAAACCTCTATTCTGGGATACAAATCACAGACTGCACATATCTTAAAATGTTCAGCTCAATGAATCTCTATAAAAGTAAATACTTAGGTAATGATCACCCAGGTCAAGATGTACGAGAGAAGAGCTCTGCAGGAGATTCATGTTCCAAAGCCATCAGAAGTGGCTTTCCAAAAAGCGTGAGCAGCATATGAAACAGTAAGAAATAAAAGCTAAAGCCTATAAAAGTACTTTCCTTTAGCACATATAGTAGCTCCCAGAACTGCCCTGCCTTAGTCCATGTTAAACTGTCTAGCCAAGCTATGAGTGCCAACAAAGCTGGGAGACAGTGAGCAACACTGGCAAAGGCTGAGAAGAATGGTCCCTGCTAGCATGAGACATGTGATACTATCAGGATTCTAGAGGAGCAACCCTGAGTCTTGAGGACTAAGACCATGTCTTAGCTTCTTGTGGCTGCCTTAATAAGTGAACACAAACTTTGGTGGCTTAAAACAAAAAGTTATCTACCATGTTTCTGCAAGGAGAAAGCCCTGTGGGTCAAGTGTCTGGAGGCAATAGGAGAGAATCCTTCCTTGCTCTAATCCCGTTTCTGATGACTCCAGCTAACTTTTTAGCCCATGAAAATATCACCCTGTTATCTGGATCTGTCTTTATATGGCCTTTTCCTCTCCTCTGTACCTGTACTCCTCTTCTTTGCCTTTGTTTTAGGTGGGATAATGGTTATCAGTAGATTTAGGGCCAATGTAAATTACAACTGCAAATACCTATTATCCAAATAAGGTAACTGCAATGGTTGATCTTCATGTCAGTTTGACTGGATTTGTAATCACCTAGGAGGCACATAGTATGTCTTTAGGACACTCTAGAGAGCTTTAACTGAGGAGGAAGGATTCACCCTAACTGAGAGTGGCAGCAGGCTATTGCCCGGGGACCCAGATTGAATAAAAAGGAGAAAGAGCTGAGCATCAGTATTTATCTCTCTGTTTCCTGACCACTGTGATCAGCTGCCTTAAGCTCCTGCCACCATGCCTGTCCTGCCATGATTGATGGTATTCTCAAACTGTGAACCTATGTTAGGTATTTTTGTCACAGCAACAAAAATTACTAACACAGTCACATTCATAGTGTTTAAGTATATGTATGTGATGTATATGTGTGTGTATGTATGTATGTATGTATGTATGTATGTATCATTTGGGGGAGAGAATAGGTGCCATTCAACCTACTTCAGGCTTCCAAAGAGGGAATCAGTTGAATACAGCTGCAAATGTGTCTACCTCCACATTTCTGTGGGGACTGCTACTTTAAACAGCACTTGGATTATTCAGGATCCACAGCTTTACCAAACTGCCCTCTTCACTCTGTTTGTCCCCAGTACTGTTTTCAAAAAAGCATATGTGGTGTTAGGGGAAGAATGCTTGGTACAACAGTTAATACCCACTCTGTGCTGCTCAGTAATATCCTTTGCCTAGTTTTCTCCGTGTTTAGCTGTGGGCCAGGTGCCAGTCTAGTTGTTCAGTGATCAAGAAAGCCTGATTTCATGGTGTATATCTTCCAGCAGGGGGCGACAGATCAACAATAAACAACAATTCCATGATGTTATTGACTGCTAGAGGATGATTGATACTAGAGAGTAGAACAAGATAGGAGAGTAGTGGACAGGTGTGGTCTTACTGGGAGTATAATTTGGGTTTATGAAATGAGACATACTAAAGAAGGAAATGAGTTTAGGGGAAAGGATTGAGAAGGATAAAGGAAGAACAGAAGCCAATGTGGCTAAAGAACTGTTTCACAAAGAATTATTGAGACAGGAAAAAGAATAAAGGTACAGGGTCACATAAGGCCTCAGAAGCCACTACAAAGATTTGATCCTCGAGTCTGGATGAGGTGAGTATCTCCCTAGCCAGAACGGAGAAGTGATGTAGTCAGATGTCAATTTTACAAGGACTGCTTTGGCTGTCATGCTGAGGACAGATTCAGAGGAAGCAAGGGTGGCCCCAGGAGTCCATCTAGAAGTTTTCTGCTATCACATAGCCCAACCTAAAGTGGTGGCAGAAGCATATTGAGAAATACTGGGACTCTCTGTGTGTGTGTGTGTGTGTGTGTGTGTGTGTGTGTGTGTGTGTGTGTGTGTGTGATTTATTTTATGTGTATGGGTGTTTTGTCTGCATGTATGTATATGTACAATGTGCACGTCCGATGCCCACAGAGGGGTCAGAAGAGGACTTCGCATACCCTAGGACTGGAATTACAGATAGTTGTAAGCTGCCATGTGGGTGCTGGGAATTGAACCCAGGTTCTCTGGAAGAGATCAACAAGTGTTCTTAACCATTGAACCATCTCTCTAGCCCTCCACTCTCTGACCTATATATTTTGATGGCCAAATGTGTTCTCTTGGCACATTGACTGTGGGGTGATGTGGTGGTATTGTGTTCCCCAAAATATTGTGTACCCTAATAAACTTATCTGGGGTCAGAGAACAGAAAAGCCACTAGATACTTAGGATAGGCAGTGGTAGCACACGCCTTTAATCCTAGCATTCCAGAGGCAGAAATCCATCTGTTCAAGGATACAGCCAAGCATGGTGACTCACGCCTTTGATCCCAGAAAGCGAGCCTTTAATCCCAGGGAGTGATGGCAGATAACAGAAAGGTATATAAGGCGTGAAGACCAGAAACTAGAAGCATTTGGCTGGTTAACCTTTTAGGTTTTAAGCAGCAGTTCAGCTGAGAGCCATTTGGATATGAGGACACAGAGGCTTCCAGTCTGAGGAAACAAGATCAGCTGAGAAGTTGGCCAGGTGAGGTTAGCTGTGGCTTGTTCTGTCTCTCTGATCTTCCAGCATTCATCCCAATAACTGGCCACGGGTTTGTTTTATTAATAAGAACTTTTAAGATTCATGCTACAGGGTGAGAGAGAGAAAGGCTTCAAAGATGACTCTAAGTTTCCTGATAGGGTGAGCAGAATGGTGATGCCCTGAAACTGAAATGAAATGAAGCAGGGAGAGGAGCTGGAGGGGAACCTTAGGTGTTCTGTTTGGATGTGTGACATTTAATTTGGAATCCTGCCATTATTTATACAATAAATAATGCTATCTTCTTATAATAAATAATGCCAAGTCTCCACAGCCATGCTGGTTTGTTCTTAAGTCATATCAATTTTGTTTTTATATGTTATCATGTACTAATTAAACAAAGAGTTTCATTATAACATTTTTATACATATTATAATTATTTTGATCCTACTGTTGATCCCTTTTCTCTTCCTAACTAGTCTTCACTTCCTACTTTAATGCCTTTTTTCCCTGGTGACCCAGTGAATTTAATTAGGCTTGCTTATAGGAAGTATCTAAGCTTGTCAGTGGCTGATACACAGGAAGAAATATCTCCCCCTGCCCCAGCAACCACTAACTGAGAACAGCTCCACAGGGGTGGAGGCAGGGGGCAAGGTCTCATAGGTTACTTTTCCCTAGCTACTGTTAACTGCTTATAAATCCTTAAGGAGGGGGCTAGAGAGTCCCTCCTCTCAGTTATGGTTAACAGCCTATCAATTCTCAGGAAGGGGTGGAACCTCATGAGTCCCTCCCCTTAGCTTCTGTCAACTATTAATTCTTAGGGAGGGGTGGAACCTCATGAGTCCTTCCCCTTAGGTACTGTTAATGACCTATTAATTCTCAGGGGGACGGAACCTCAACAGTCCCTCCTCTTAGCTACTGTTTACTGTCTATTAATTCTCAGGGAGGGGCAGAGCCTCATTAGTCCCTTCTCCTAGCTGTTCAGTACTTATAACTTCTTGGGGGTGGGAGATAAAGATACATAAGCCACTGTGGTCTAGCTATTGTAGACTGCCTCTAAATCCACATTGGAGGTGGGCATGTGAGTACCCCCATGACAGGATTCAGACAAGCACAATCTTATACAGGTCTGGGTCATATAATTCTTGACACATAGGAGGGCAAGTTCTTCCTTGATATTCTCCCAAACAATTTTGGTTATCTAAAAAATAATCTTCCATATGAACATTAAATTTTAGAGTCAGTTTGAACACTAGAATAAGCACATATACTTAGACAAGAAAAAGAAATCAGATGTAACAAAATCATTTTGCTGTGGTATGAATGTATAATTAGAATGAGTTTTCTAAACTATTAGCAATAAAAGATTAAAAATTTACAAATGAAAACGATCAGTGATGAATATAAAATACACAGAAGTCATTAACCTATAGATACACAAAAAAATCTTAAAGAATATAACAGAGGAGTCCATTTCTGAGAGTATGTAAAGACAAGCAAACAAGCAATAAAATTTGAAGTCCAATGACTTCAAATGCTCTACCTGAACTTCTCAATTAGAAATTAGCTGTGAGTAAAGTGTGAGCCCAACTCAGAATGACATACAAACCACAGGATAGCTCATCAAAGAAGCATTTTAACCCTCAAATGATTTTCACATTCATATGCCTTTTTACTGTTCTACATGTCAGATGGTTTATGTCACTGGGCCTGTTCTTAACTTTCAGTTATCGAGTTTGATGTCACAGCAAGAACTGACAAAGTCTGCTTTTAAGAACAAGCTAACCTTGTCTTCATCAAGTTAAGAGCTCATTATGGAAAGGGGCTGCATATTCTTTTAATCTTTCAACATGGGCAGCATATCATTGCATTGTGAATACTGTAGGTGGCCATTAACTGAATACTTTCTAGGTCATGCAAATGAACAATCACTTAACTTTTAAGTGGTTAAGTACATTCTTCCAGTTTTACATTATATAATTTAGAAAGTCCTATGTGATTAGTTCTACATAAGCAGATCTCTAAAGACTTCTCACATACTTAATTCACACCTCTGTTATCAGTGTCATCCCCGTGCACTGCAATCATCAGCTTACGTGCCCCCGCCAGCCTGGAGAGTCTTGTCAGCAGAGATCATCGCTTCCTAATCCCTGTATTCTCCCAGTGTAGGACATACAGGAACACTTAGCATTTTATAGAAGAAAATATGAAGTGCCCAGGGATATCAATTTGTGTAGGAATATTACAGTCAGAAAAATCTACACAGGGAAGGTAATGTTTTTGAATAGATGCCAACAGATCATGATATAGAGCAATTAATGTCTGAAAGTAAAAGGTTCCCTCAAAGAATGAACATTCCTGTTTATCCAGGTCCCATTTTGCTAAACCCTTGGAGAATATGGGGTGGGGGTACTTTATAGAATGTTCTGATATGATGATGTCCCTTCAAACTAGCCTCATCAGCAAAATAAAACAAAACCAATCAAAAGGCCCCAAACCAAATGACTTGTCACATAATCATTGTTACTTTTTTGTAGTAAGAAAGAAATTACTTCACAAATTTTGACAAGTAGAAAGGTAATTGTAGAATCTGAAGACACTGTAAATAGTTCCTCATAGCCAATGGTTAAAAGAAAGCTATGACAAATGCAAAAAGCACTTATTTTAAAAGATAAACACTGTTCAGTATGAGTGTGTGTGTGTGCAAGCGCGTGTGCTTGCACACACACACACACACTCTATTTATTTATTTATTTATTTATTTATTTATTTATTTATTTATTTATTTATTTAGAGACAGTCTCACTGTCTAGTTCTGGCTGGCCTGAGCTCACTAGGTAGACTAAGCTGGAGTCAAAGTCACAGAAATCTGCCTGCCTCTGCCTTTAAAGTGCTGGGATGACAGATGTGATCCATCCTGCCCATCTTATATTTTTAATTGGAAAATAAATATGTGTTCTGTAATGGCAGTTAGAAAAGACCCTGTTTACTTGTTACTCAATGTTCTAAATGCCAGAACTACTGTTCAGTAAATTCCCTCAAAGTACTTCTCAAATTCCAAACTAAATGGGCAAATGTTCTCAAGCTCTGGCACCTGTCACTTTCCAAAAAGAATGCACATTTCAAATAGGGCCGCATTACAAAAGCCTTTCACAGAGACTTGGAAGTGAGGGTACCAGGTTGAAATGAGCAATTTCCCAGTGAGTATGAGACACAGGATGGTGCACAGCCAGGGCAGGTGTGGAGAAACCAATGAAGCCAGTGAAGCCAGTGAAATCGAGAGTGAAGCTCCCTGCCTAGTCACCCCAGCCTACTACTGATGGGATTACAGCTGAGGCTCTTGCAAGGCTGAACTGTGAAGGCAGTCAATGCCCTACACCACAGGAAAATGAGCAAAACTACCAAGAGCCACTATAAACACCATAAGTCTCAGAACAAAGCTGTCAGTGGAGGCACTTTTCTTCGAAGCCTTATAAATAGGCTGCTTTTTCTTCTGGTTTAAGATGAAGTTGTGAGAAGGGAAGGCCCACGGAAATGTCTTTATTTAAATGTGAAGTTTTTCACTTCAAAAATCTGCTTCCATTTTGACTGATAAGTAGGTAGCTAAATTTACTAACCATTGGTATATTGGTATCTTTATTTTAGATATAAAGATATCCAGTAAGAAGCATGCTGATGCCAGCTTACTTCATATTTCCATCTCAACTGGAGGGCAGAAAAATGTTTCCTCACTTTTAAATGATCACTTAAGTCTAGTCAGTGCAGAGAACTTTTGAGACAAGGTCTCAAGTAACCCAGGCTTGTCTCAAATTCAATATGTAGCAGAGGTTGGCTTTGAACTTCTGATTAGCCTACCTTTTACCTCCTAAGTGCTAGAATTACAAAAGTGCACACAATGTCAGGGAATTATGTACAGAGTTTTCTAATCATGTGTAAGCATTTCAAGTGATTAAAGCAAACCCTCAGCTAAGAAAATTTAGAAACTTTCTAGAGTTTTAAAACAGCTTACATTATGGTTAAAAAATTATAGCATTCATTTGGGCAGAGAAATATAAGTTTAACTTCAAAATTCATGGTTTAGTAATTCACAACAATTTTAAATTAGGGTTAGTTTAAAAGCAAGTATTTTATTTATTATGTTTGTTCTTAGAATGTGAACAAACCACCAGCATAGCAAACAGCATCATATTAGCTGGGGTGAGCCATATAGTCCAGCAGGGCTGTCTTTTCACTTACTTGTTGCTTGATTCTGGGATTCCATCGAATGTAGTAATTCACCCACAGTTCCAAGTGGCGCATACTGGCAACTGGATATAAAACCCGATTGATTTCTTTTGTATAGAAGGGGTTTTTGAATTTGTCTTTATTGCTATTAATTAGCGACCATACAGAAACTGTTCTTTCTGTAAGTTTCTACAGAGAGAGAAAGCAGAAAGGTAAACACACTTACAAACCACTCTGCAGCCTGTGGTAATATAATTTGGGAATAGCACCAGTGATAGGTATACATTACCCTCCATAATAGCTAAGAAAAAGAATCACTGAGTGCATACATCTACTTACTGATATTTCCATAGATAACTGCCTAGCTGAGAGCCACTGTTTCTTCTGGGAGACATGTGATAGATTCACAACATGTCCCCATGGATGGGCATGCCTGGTGGACCTAGACACTTCCACCTAGCCAGTTCTGGGTCAAAATAGCCATTTCTGGGTCAAAATAGCCAATTCCGGGTCAAAATGTCTCGCGTGACCAGGACCCTGTGGCTTTGCATGGTTGCATAAAGCGCGCAGTGCAACCATGTGATCTACGCGTATGTGTGGAGTAGCCACATGAGCCTGTGTATGCATGCGCGACCCAGTCTTTATAAGCCAGTGCCATATTCCCGGCTTCCCTACTTATGCACGTGTCTTTCCGCAGGCCTGTCACGTCTGTCTCTCTCTCTCTCTCTCTCTCTCTCTCTCTCTCTCTCTCTCTCTCTCTCTCTCTCTCTTATCTTAATAAAACTCTTGTTAGTGGATTCTGTCGTGTTTCGTGACATTTCCTCGCAGGGTAAGAGCACCGCCAAATAACTAACAACAGAGACTCAGAATGCTGCAGCACTGAATGCAATTCACTGACCTACAAAGACAATTCCTGGCTAGGCAAAACATTTATGAACAGACGGGCCACACTATCTTTTTCATTCCCCTCAAAGGAAAATTAGGAAGACCCCACTGAGTTTCCATTTTTTTTCTACTTGTTAGAAATATAAAGTTTAAATTTGTGATTACTTGACAATAGGTATTTGGACAGTTACTTTAACCAACTATCCACATATTTAATCTACATCAGAGCCACATCCAGATATTTGAAAAAAGTGGATAACTGACTACACCAAGTCTTCAGTTTTTAACTGGTATCCATGTTCTCAAAAATCATTTACAAGTTTGTTTTTTATTACATACATTTTACCAAAATTTCACCATAAACTATGGAAAAACCAAAGCTGAGGAATAAAAAATACAAGAAATAAAATTACCAAAATTAGAATTTGACTCTTCCTAGTAATGTCTTTAATAAGACAAGGAAGACACTAACAGCTAAACAGAAATTCCTGTAATGCATGTAGTTCATTTATAGAAATGATAAATCATGAGAACTGTAAAGACTAGATTTGCACTTGTCATCAGGCCTGATGGTTGTTGAGAGAGTCGTTGCTTTTCCCTTAACTGTGAAACTGTTTGACTTTTAAAACCATGTATAGTATATAATACAAAACAGAAAATGTGCAAAATAAGCACAATCCAGTACAGATTTTGGTGTCAGAAAAGTACAAATGAACTTTATGGGGTGGGTTCAAATGGTACTATCATGATTTATCATTGAAGTCATTACTAGGAAGAGTCAAATTCTAATTTTGGTATTTTTATTTCTTGTATTTTTTTATTTCTCAGCTTTAATTTGGTAAAATGTGTATAATAAAAAACAATAAACTTGTGTTTTATGAGAGCATGGACACCATGTGGTTAAAGGGATACAGTCCATTGTGTTGGGGAACACTCCATGTCAGCAGGAGTGTGGAGTGGCTGGTTACATCTTCTCAGCAGCTAGGAAAGTAGAAAGCATCAATGTCCACCCTGCAGTGAACCACTTCCTCTAGTAAGGTCCCATTTTTGAAAGGTTCCAACTTATGAACCCATGAGGAACCATTTCACACCCAAACAGTAACAGGTTTCTAGGACCTATTCATAGTATAACCAAAGATGTGCATTTTTTAAACCACTATCCTACCCCCACCCTGTTAACTGTCCAACTTTCCATTACTGTAGGTTCAACTCACACAGACTCTTACTGAATTGTTTCTGTGGTTACTAACGCTTCAATTCTACCCATGTTGCACAAAAGGCAGAATTTCATTTTTTAAGGCTGAATTATATTCCATTTATACCATGGAACATATCAATTTTTATTTTTTATTCATCTGACCATGTGTATTTAAGGTGATTCCAGATTGTGACTCTTGGCTTTTGTGAGTAGTGTTTCTGTAATAGGAGTGCACTTAGCTCTTCTACATACAACTTGATTCCTTTGTTCCTTTTTGTGCTACTGGAGTTTGAACACAGGACCACTAAGGTCTATAACCAGACTATTTTAATAATATTTTATTTTTATTTAAGAAAAAGTATTTAGTGGAATGTGTGAGTGCAGGCACATGTATGCCATAGCCTGAATATAGAGTTCAGACAACTCTATGGCATTGGTTCTCCCCTTCAAACTTTACATTGGTCTCAGGGATCTGTGCTGGCTAGTTTTAAGTAAACATGACACAAGTTAGGGTTATCGAAGAGGATGTAACCCCATTTGAAAACAAATGCCTCAGTGTAGACAAGCCTGTATGGTGTTTTTTTAATTAGTGATTGATGGTGGCAGGGATGGGGGGGGGTAGCCCATGGTGGATGGTTCCGTCCCTGGAACCTGAGTTCTATAAGAGATCAGGCTGAACAAGTCATGATGAGCAAGCCAGTAAGTAGCACCCCTCCATGACCTCTGTATCAGCTCCTGCCCCTAGGATCCTGCCCTGTGCTAGTTTCTGTCCTGACTTCCTTCAGTGATGGACTATGTGGAAGTGTAAACCAAATAAACACCCCCCCCCCACCCCGTGTGCTGCAACACATGCACACAAGTTGCTTTGATAACGGTATTTAATCACATCAATAGAAACTCTGACTAAGGCAGGATTGAACTCAGATCACCAGGCTTTTGAGGTAAGCACTTTTACCTACCCACTAAGTCATCTCTCTACTCCCTATTTCAAAAAAATGAGACAAGGTCTCACCAAGTCACCAGGCCAAACTTGATCTTGCTTTGTAGCCTAGACAGTGTTTTAATTTATGATCCTCCTACCTCAGTTTCCATAGTAGCTGGGATCACAGGCCTGACATACCTGGTCTGGCTTTGATTTCTTTTGGATACACAACCAGTAGTATCAGGCTTGCTGGATAACGGAGTGGTTCTGCTTTAAATTTCCTGAAGAATCTTCATACTGTCTTCCATGAAGCTTGAGCCAACTTGTGTTTTTAATTGATTTATCTGGTACTTGTCTTCTTATCCTCCAAGTGCATGCCTTTATTGCTACCACATAGCTATCCAGTTGCAGGTGTTAACTACTGGCACGGTCACAATGTCTTTCTTTCCCCCATTCCTGCCCCCCACACAAACTTTTTTTTCTGCCACACATCCTTAATCCATAGCACAGCTCTGACTAGTTCAGTGTTTAGTAGTTTCATTCTGATGACTAAGCACCTGCTGTTTGCAGCTGAGCTCTCCAGCTTCTGTCCTATGATTGCTTTCCTTTTCCTGCACTCATTGATTTTCTCTTGATTTCACAACTGTTTACTTTTCTTGGCATTTACTAACTCAACTCCAAGCTCTCCTTATTGTGTCACATGCCGCTAAAGAATCTTAAGCACATCATATGACCCAAATGTCTCTGTCATAGGAGCTTCAACTTACACCAGTTGTTCCTTTGCCTTGTGGTCAGCTCTCATCAAGAACTCCTGTGCTGGAGCCCTCACTCTGGGAATTCTGTGAAGCCTTTCTTTTCATGGAGTGCATATTTTGGCCACTTCCAAGGAAGGTGCATTTGGGGAAGTAGGTTACTTTTTTAAAATGTGAGTTTGTGTATGTATGTGCACATGCACATGTATATTTGTGTGCAAGCTAGTCACTAATCTACGTGTCATTCTAAGAAATGTTCTCCATCTCTTTAAAGACAGGGCCTCTCATTGGCCTAGAGCTTATCAATTGGGCTAGAATGCCTAGTTAGATCTAGGGATCCCCCTATCTCTACATGCACAGTGCTGGATTACTTGAATGCCCCCTTTGCTTAGGGTTTTATGTGGGTTCTGAGGATTGAACTAAGGTCCTCACACTTGCAAGGTAAACACTTTACTAATGGAGCTAACTCCACAGCCCATGAAGTAGATCATTCTTGATGCTGTGTTGTCTGAGAGGATCTTTGTTCTCCTTTCATGCATAGGTGGTAGTTTGGTAGCTGCAGAAAGCTGGCTTGAAGTGCTTTCCTTAAAAGTCATCTGTGCAATACTGTCACTGAAGAATTCCAAGTCGTTTTGATTTCTGTTTCTTTGCAAATAGAGCATGAATATCTTATATCCAAAATTCTTGGGACCAGAAGTGCTTTGGCTTTAGAATTTTTGTTCTGATTTTGGAATAGTTGCATATACATAATGAGATATGTTAGGGATAGAATCCAATCAAAACACAAAATTCAATTATATTTCATATAAGCCTTATACACATATCCTGAATTTAATTTTATGCTATACATTGATATGATTGCATTTTTGTATTTTTTTGTTTGGAGACAGGGTCTTAATATGTAGGCCAGCCTATCCTGGAACTCAGTATATAACTCAACTGGCCTGAAACTTGTGATCCCCCTGTCTTAACCTCCCAACTTCTGGGATTATGGGCTTGAGCTACCATGCCTAGCTCCCCCAATTCCAATTCTTTTAAAAATATAACCTAGAAGTGAAATTTTTAGGTTGTATGTTAATTCTACATTTCCCTTTTTAAGATGCACTGTTTCCCATTCACTTAAAAGTTTATGAGATTTCTATATCTCCTAGAGAGATATAGAATAAGCACCTGGTTCCAGAATACTTAGAATGAGTCACGATTGTTATCCTTTCCTCAGAGGGAACCTCTGCCAGGGTCCTTACCTCCAAAGAGGGATGGAGGAGAGAATGGGTAGCTTATTCTAAACATATCTTCATGTAACTTTCTCTTCCCACTTTGTCTCAGAAAACACACTGGCAGGGTTCAGTCCTGGGGCAGCTAGGTGTTCTGCAATGCAGAGTGAGCTGGTGCTTGGCTACTCTGCTGCAGCGTTCAGATTTGGATTTCTCAAGCTACAATATTTGTTACTTATCGGTTTTTCACCTAAATTTTTTGTGAGTTTCTCCTTTTTCCTATTTTTATAGGTTCATGCCCTTCCACTTTTAATTGGATTTAAGATCTACTCCAAGAGCTGGAATCCATAACTGCAATTTTTAATGAGTCCAAGAACCTAAGCATACACAGGTCATGGGGCCAAGGGAAAACTACTACTAATAGTCTCTCAAATAAACATAGCAATAAAATGATGTCTAATGACATACTGCTATATCTAAAGATCAGTGCGCACTTAGTACACACCAGAGAAGCTGCTTCTTGCAGTAGATGTTAATTAACGCAGAGACCCATAACTGGACAAGGTGTATAGAGTGAGAGACTTTGGAGTATTCAGCCCCAAGTGGGATGTCTTTATCAAATCCCCTGACTTCAAGTTCAAGAATCTATGTGGAAGAGGAGGCAGAACAACTCTAAGAACCAGAGTTGGTGACTGACTTCTGGGAAACAGCAAATTCCAGACACAGGAGCACAGATGCACATATGAACTCACAGAGACTGTGACGTCATGGACAACTGCACAACCTCAAGCCAGACAAAATCACAGAAAGGAGAAGAAGTGGACACAAAGTCCCACCCCTCATCAAGAAGCTATGTATAAAGGATAGCTGTTGGGAAAGGGAAAATCAGTTTTCATCAATGGAGTGTGACCCTACTCCAGGGCAGGCCTGTGGTGGTATTGTGTTCCCCAAAATATTGTGCACCCTAATAAACTTATCTGGGGTCAGAGACAGAACAGCCACTAGATACAAAGGCTAGAAAATGGTGGCACTCACACCTTTAATCCTAGCACTCCAGAGGTAGAAATCCCTCTGGATCTCTGTGAGTTCAAGGCCACATTGGAAATGGTCAGGCATGGTGACACACACCTTTAATCCCAGGGAGTGATGGTAGAAAGCAGAAAGGTATATAAGGCGTGAGGACCAGAAACTAGAAGCATTTGGCTGGTTAAGCTTTCAGGCTTCTAGCAGCAGTTCAGCTGAGAGCCATTCGGATATGAGGACACAGAGGCTTCCAGTCTGAGGAAACAAGACCAGCTGAGAAGTTGGCCAGGTGAGGTTAGCTGTGGCTTGTTCTGTCTCTCTGACCATCCAGCATTTCACCTCAATAACTGGCCCCGGTTTGATTTTATTAATAAGACTCTCTAAGATTCATGCTATACAGGCCCCATGTTTTTAGTGGCCTTTTTCTCTCTCCTTCTCTCCTTTCCTTACTGCTTCCCTACCTACCTACCTACCTACCTACCTCATTTTTAAAAAAGATAGATTAGGGGAGGGAGTAAGAACTGGAAGGATCTGGGGAACTGGGAAAAATATTATCAAAATACACTTATGAAATTCTCAAAGAATAAATTCAAAAATTCCCTTTACATAACTTTTCATGTAGCTCCACAAGGGAGAATTTGTATACTTTAAAAATTATTCCTCAGGGCAAAACCAGTGCTTCATAAACACTCATATTTTTCCTAGATTCACTGTGTAAAGCCTTCACAAAAAAAGTGTTTTGCTCACCTGTCTTTCTCGAGCCGATTCACAGTTAAATAAGAAAGTACCAAATCGACAGCTATACAGATGATCCAAGATCGTAATCAAAAAGCGTTCATTGAACTCAAAAGCTGTGGGGAACTAGATGAAAACAAACAAGCAAGCATACATGAAAAATTGTATCTGTTCTCTAAAGGAAGAAGAGCATGGTTTCCATCAGACCAGAGTGTCAAAGTAAGAACTTATGGTGTATTATTGTTCACTTTGAATTAAAAGAAACACACAAATACATATACACACTGTGGCAAGAGAAGATGCATAGATGGATGGTAAGAGGGCAAGAGTGACTAAATGCTACCACACTGTAGAACTCTGGGAAGGCCTCACATACTCCATAGTTTTTTTTTCCTTTCTGTCTCTTTTCTTTGCACTTCATATAAGACTGACATACTTTAATATGTACCAAGTCAAGGATAAAAAAGGAAAAGGTGGTCAAAAGTATATTTTTTAAAGTATAATGAGTTAGCAGGCATACTTACACAGAAATGCCGAGACACTTGTCATCCTGCTGGCCTTCCATTAGAACAGGTAATCCAGTTAAAAATTTAATTTTGTAAACTTTATATGTAGTATTATAGATATACATAATAGTAGTAATTAAAAAAATGAATTCCTATGTCTCTCTTGGTGGAATTCAATCATTATTCACTCATACCTATTTCATCTTTATTTCTGCCCTGCATTATTTTGTAGGCAAACTTCAGATGTTATAAGATACTATTTAAACATTGAGTGTATATTCATCCCACACATTCTTACCTGTTTTGACATCTGCCACACACAGTCAATAAACTGGAGAAAAATAGGAGATCGGTCAGCATCAGCATGATTTTTATCACCATGACCTATTCTCTGAAATGAATTGATGAAAATGATTTAATTCACGGGTACAAAACAGAGAAAGCATGTAACTTACAAAATGTCACATACATGTACACACACCCACACAACCATGTGCATTTATACAAATATTAACACACACACACTACAAATACACATAAAACAACAAAAACGAGCAAAGCACCATCAATCTATGTAACTGTTACAATTATTTCATATGACTACAATGTTGTACAGGTCACAGACAGCTACAGATAGAGGTGACTGGAGCATCCTGCATGGTTTATTCTAGCTTCACTAGGTTTCTTGGGGAAGAAGAAGCCTGGACATTTCAAGGCTTGAAATCGTGCCCAAAGTATAGTTATTATTATTAAAATGCTTCCCCTGCTAGAGCCCAAACAAAACTCTCACAATGTCTTTATTAAATAGTGACTACTTCTACTTGAAAATGTTACTCATACCATTTGTGAAATTTGGATGAAGGATAAAAGCTGATCAAACAGTATTTTTATTAGCATGATATATATGAGAATCACCATGGATCCAGGTAAAGGAGAGATGGCCCAGGAGTTAAGAGCACTTGCTGCTCTTGTAGACCACTTAGGTTTAATTCCCAGCAACCACAGGGTGTCTAACAACTAGCTCTAACTCTAGTACTAGGGGATCTGCTTCCCTCTTCTGGCTTTCAAGAGCACTGTATGCATGTGGTGCACAAATAAACATGCAGACAAATCACACCCCCAACACACAAAGGAATAAATCTGCTAAAAAGATGCTCATTCAAAGGAAACCTGGAAACAAGACCCAAAGATATGAATTGCAATGATTCCCTTGATGATTAAAAAATGTGCATCAAAAATAATAAAAAGCCTCAAGTAAAAACCTGCCATTTTGTGAAGTACATTTGTTCCTGATAATTATATTAGCCCAGAGAAAACTGTCATTATATCTTCCTTCTTTTGTGAAATCTCAATTTAAAAATCTTTCCTTTTTATTTTCTGAGACAAATCTTCCTTTACAGCATAGGCCTGTAAAGAACTCCCTGGGTAGCCTAGGCCTGCTTGGAAATCACCTGGTAGCCTTGGATGGAACTCACTGAGTAGCCTAGGCCTGGAACTCACTGGATAGCCTTGGCTGGTACTCACTGGGCAGCGTCAGCTGGAATTCACTGGGTAGTCTAGGCCTGGAAATCAATGGGTAGCCTTGGATGGAACTCACTGGTAGCCTCAGCTGGAACTCACTGAGTAACCTCAGGTGGAACTCACTGGTAGCCTCAGCTGGAACTCACTGGGTTGTCTAGGCCTGGAACTCACTGGGCAGCCTAGGCCAGTAACTCACTGAGTAGACTCAGCTGCAACTTACTGGGTAGCCTAGGTCTGGAACTCACTAAGTCGCCTTGGCTGTAACTCACAGGGTATCCTTGGCTGGAACTAACTGTGTAGCCTAAGTATGGCAATCAAAGGGTAGCCTAGGAATAGAACTCACTGGGTAGCCTTTCCTGGAACTCACTAGGCCTGGAACTTACTGGGTAGACTTGGGTGGAAATCACAGAGTAGCCTTGGCTAGAACTCACTGGTTAGCCTAGGTATGGAATTCACAGGCTAGCCGAGGCCTGGCCCTCAGTGGATAGTCTTGGCTAGAACTCTCTGGGTAGTCTATGCTTGGAACTCACTGGACAGCCTCAGCTGGAACACACTTGGTAGTCTAGGCCTGGAACCCACTGGGTAGCCTTCGTTGAAACATAGTGAGTAGTCTAGGCCTGGAACATACTAGGTAGCCTAGGAGTGGAACTCACTGGGAAGCCTTGGCTTGAACTCACTAGGTCTGTGACTCACCAGGTTACACAGGCCTGGCTCTAATTGTGTAGACTCAGCTGGAATTCCTTGGGTAGCTATGGCTAGAACTCACTGTGTAGCCTTGGTTGGAACTCACTGGGTAGCCTAGTCCTGAAACTCACTGGTAGCCTCAGTTAGAAATCATTGGGTAGCCTAGGGCTGGAACTCACTTGTCAGCCTCAGTTTGAACTCAGTAGGTAGGTAGCCTAGGGCCCCAAACTCATTAAGGAACTCACTGGGTAGCATAGGCCTGAAAGTCATTGGGAAGCTTTGGCTGGAACTCAATAGGTAGTCTAGGCCTGGAATTCATTAGGTAGTCTCAGCTGGAATTCACTGGGTAGTCTAGATCTCAAAATGAATGGGTAGCCTTGGTTTGAACTCCCTGGATAACCTTGGTGGGAACTCACTGGGTAGTCTTCAGCTGGAACTGACTGTGTAGCCTCAGCTGGAAATCATTGGGTAACCTAGTGCTAGAACTCAGGGGTAACCTTGGCTGGAACTCATTAATTGGGTAGCCTAGGTCTGAAACTCAATGGGTAGACTCAGCAGGAACTCATTGGGTAGTTTAGATCTGGAAATAAATGGGTAGCCTTGGTTTGAACGCACTGGGTAGTCTTCAGCTGGAACTGATTGTGTAGCCTCAGCTGGACCTCATTGGGTAGCCTCAGCTGGAACTCACTAGGTAGCAAAGGCCCACAACTCACTGGGTAGCCTTGGCTGGATCTCATGGGGTAACCTAGGCCTAGAACTCAGGGGGTAGCCTCAGTTGGGACTGATTGGGTAGCCTATGGGTGGAAATCACTGGGAAGCCTTGCCTGGGACTCACCTACTAACGTAGGCCTGACCCTCATTGGGTAGCCTCAGCTGAAACACACTGGGTAGAACTCACTGGAACTCACTGGAAAGCCGAGGCCTGACCCTCATTGGGTAGTCTTGGCTGGAACTCACTGGGCAGCCTCAGCTGGAACACACTTGGTTGCTGTGGGATGGCCTGTATGTCAAGTGTGTTGCTGATTGGTCAATAAATAAATCACTGATTGGCCAGTGGCCAGGCAGGAAGTATAGGCAGGACAAGGAGGAGAATAAAGCTGGGAAGTGGAAGTCTGAGTCAGAGACACTGCCAGCCGCCATGATGAGAAACAGCATGTGAAGATGCCGGTAAGCCACGAGCCACGTAGCAAGGTATAGATTAATAGAAATGGATTAATTTAAGCTGTAAGAACAGTTAGCAAGAAGCCTGCCACGGCCATACAGTTTGTAAGCAATATAAGTCTCTGTGTTTACTTGGTCAGGTCTGAGTGGCTGTGGGACTGGCAGGTGAGAGAGATTTGTCCTGACTGTGGGCCAGGCAGGAAAACTCAAGCTACACTTGGTAGTCTAGGCTTGGAAATCTCTGGGTAGCCTTCGTTGAAACATACTGAGTAGCCTAGGCCTGGAACATACTGGGTAGACTTGGCTGGAACTCAATAGGTAGCCTTGGCTGGATCTCACTGGGCAGCCTTGGCTGGATCTCACTGGGTAGCCTAGGCCTGTAACTCACTGAGTAGCCTAGGCCTGGAACTCATTGGGTATCCAAGGCCTAGAATTCACTGGGTAGTCTTTGCTGGAACTCACTGGTAGCCTAGTCCTGGAACTGACTATGTAGCCTAGGCCTGGAACTTACTGGATAGCTTTGGCTAGAACTAACTTTGTAGCCTTTGCTGGAACTCAATGGGTAGCCTTCGTTGAAACTCATTGGGTAGTCTAGGCCTGAAACTCAGTAGGTAGCCTAGCCCTGGAAATCACTGGATAGACTAGGCCTGGAACTCACTGGTAGCCTTGTTGGAACTCACTGGGCAGGCTAGGCCTAGAAATCACTGGGTAGCCTCAGTTGGAACTCACTGGATAGTCTAGGCCTAAAAATCATTAGGTAACCTTGGTTGGAACTCACTGGGTAGCCTCAGGTGAAACTCATTGGTTAGCCTAGGCCAGGAATTCACTGGGTAGGCTCAGCTGGAACTCTCTAGGTAGTATAGGTTTGGAACTCACTGGGTAGCTTTGGCTGGAACTCACTGGGTAGCCTATGCTAACTCAGCCCAGAACTGCCAGCCTAGGCCTGGCAGTCACTAAGTAGCTTAGGCCTGTCCCTTACTGGGTAGTCTCAGCTGGAACTCACTGGGTAGTCTCAGCTTGAACTCACTGGGTAGCCTTGGTTGGAACTCACTGGATAGCCTTGGCTGGAATTGACTGAGTAGCCTAAGCCTGGAAATCACTGGTAAGCCTTGGTTGGAAGTCACTGGGTAGCTTTGGCTGGAAATCACACCAACCTTCCTGTCTCAGCCTCCCAAGTCTCAATTTATACATTTCTTTTCAGACTTTATTACATTACTTTTGAATCTAACTAGAAATAGTAAAGATGGATGAATCCTAAAAAGATTTCCATTATCCCAAGTTCTTACAGACTTTTCCAATTGTAAAGCGGTCTTCATTTACATTCCTCAGATTTTTTTCTTTGTTTGAGACAATGCCCATGTAACCCTGTCTATTCTGGAACATGATATGCAGATCAGGCTGACCTGGAAAACTTTGAGATCTACCAGCCTCCTCAGTGCTGGGATTAAAGCAAGTGCCACTTTTCTTTGCAACTCCTCAGACTTTCATGTCAGAACTGAATAAACTACAGAAACCAGTTTCTTAAAATCCCAGCTGATTTTAAAGGACAGCTTTAGTGTTTACTTACAGATGCAAATTTATGTCCAAAACTTATCCACTCTTTTTGTACCAATATTTCAAAGCCTTCAATACTCCTGTAGAAACTGTCCAGCATCAGCATAGCCAGGGATGTCAGCTGAGCAGTCCTGTCCCATCCGTCACTGCAGTGCACAAGCACTGAGCTCTTCCCTGAAGAAACTTTGTCTGCAACTTGAATGGCTCCTGTCAGAACAAGCTGGCAGAGAAAAACATGCAAGTCAGCAGCAGGGAGAAGCCGGAAGCACTGATAGCATTCCAATGTCAAAGTGCCATCCATTTTCACTCTAGCCTAAGTCCTGCTTTCAAATGTCAATGCACATCACAAACCAGAACATCAGGAACATCAGGATCCTGGGAAGTTCCCTGTGTAGAGATCACATTCAAATGCTCTGAGATTTTTTTTTTCAGTGCTTCAGTCTTTTGCATGAACAAGTGATATCCTATTGTATGAATAGTTATTTATCCATTCTTCAGTTGATAGAAATTTGGTAGTTTTTAGCATCTGTATACTAGAAACAAGGCTACTGTGGACTTTTGCACTCTTAGTTTTTGATAGGACATACCATTTTCTTTCTTAGGTAAACATCTATAAGTGCAATGACAGGACCATATGGCACATATATGCTCATGGTAAAAATGTGTGCTTATTTAAAGAAACAAATTTTAAAGAAAATAGTTATACCACCTCACATTCCTTCCAGTATTGTTTGAGGGTTGTAACTTCCAAAGTGCTTAACAGTTACTTTGAGTTGATTTTAAAAACATATTACAGTGTGCATATTTGTTTATGACTTCATTCATGTATATGTGGGTAAGCATGCCATAGTGCTTGTGTGGAGGTCAAAGGACAACTTTATGTAGAGTCTGTTATCTTCTTCCACCTGTGTATGTGTTCTGGGGACTGAACTCTGATCACCAGGCTTGAATGGCACATATTTATCTGCTGAACCATCTTGTTGGCCCTTGAGCTGATTTTCTAAGGTTTATTCCATGGAGCACCTCAAATTCTAACACCATGCTTAGAATGCACTATGATCATTTTAACTAATTCAAAGAAACTGAAAAAATTCACTGATATGTATTTAAGGAAAAGCTAGATTATGTGAACCATCTGACAAATAGAATATATGAAAGCTTATTATTTTTACATGAAGTCATGAGAGACAAGTGAACAAGAAAAAAGTTAGGGGACTAAAGGATGGCAGACCACCAAAAGCACCTGTGCAGAACTCAGTGCTCCTGAAATGACTCCTGCAATCCTGTTTGCAGTTTTAACCTGAGGTACTTGTGTTGAAAGTGCTGTTGAGAAACAGTGCTAACATTCTAGATTACTGGAGCCCAACTTAATGAAGTTGGAGTTCCAGCACACTGTAGAGGGCAGCTCTCCCTCAAGATGTAGTAGGAAGGTTTCTCCAGTCCCATGGCCCACTTATAAAATAATCACTCAGATGCTTATATTAATTATAACTGCTTGGCCCTTAGCTCAGGGTTTATTACTGACTAGCTCTTACACTTAAATTAACCCATAATTCTTATCTATGTTTAGTCATGTGGCTTGTTATCTTTTCTCAGTTCTGCTTTGACATCTTGCTTCTTCTGTGTCTGGATGGTGACTCCTGACTCAGCCCTTCTTCCTCTTCCCAGAATTCTCCTTGTCTGCTTGCCATGCCTATGCTTCCTGCCTGGCTACTGGCCAATCAGCATTTTATTTGTCAACCAATCAGAGTAACACATATTCACAGCATACAGAACGACATGCCACAGCATCAAGACGTGTCTCTCATTAACAATAAAAAGGCAATTATTTTAGAAAATTCTAGATGTTTTCTAATTATCAATCTCCACAGTCATTCTGACTTGGGGCAACTGTAATTATCTAACAAAACAAAATCTGGTTTTCAAAACTAAATTGCTAAAAACAAATAATTCGGCATTCTTGTGACAGAGAAAGCAGCAGGTTCTAGCCAGTGAATCTTGCTAATGAAGACAAGTGATAGTACCAAGAAATTCATTAAGCAGCCACAAGACGCTGAGATGAGACAAGCATAGATTTTCCTCAGCACTTAGAAATACAGCCCAAGTGTTGCACCTAGTTTGCAAGATCCAAGTTCAATACTACCTGCTCTACTGCCCTAAACTGCTAGGATTTAACTGATGTGTGAAACTGAGGTGGATCCTGTTACATGTGCACATGTGGGCTCCTCAGCATTCTCACAACTACACTGGTCATGTGAAAGAACAGTCACAATTTCTTTCATTAGTTTTGAATCTCCCTCACTAGGGACAAAATTATCAAGTCTGATGGGGATCTTCTACATTTTCTACATTCCTTAAGTCCTAACTTCTATACATCATCTTTTTCACACAGCCTTGCCTCATCATTTCCCCAGGCACCCAAGACAATGAACCAGTTGTATTTTCAACCAGTTTTTCTTTCGTCTTTCTGCTGTAAGATAGGGGCTTTTCCCCACCTTCCTAAGGTCTCTAATACACGTCTGCATGCATGCATTCATTTTCTCTCCCTCTCGCCCTTCCTCCCCCTCTCCTCCCTCCTGCCTTCCTCTATTTGTCTAAAAAAGAAAAAAAGAAAATATTTCAACTTTGCTGAAAGAACAAAGAAAGCAAAAGTTAGGAAACATCTTTCTAAATTCTGCTGATTCTTCAATTGGACTTTTGAGCATTTCCTCATATTATTAGCAACCATAGTACATGATTTACTTCATGACTGCACAGCATTTCATTATATAGATAGAACTCTTCTTCTATAGTCAGGTTATTTCCAATGGTTTTCCACTAATATAAAAATTACCATATACTAAACTTCCAAACTGTGTTTCTTTCCTTAATAAAACATCCAAGTTCTCTGTCTGAAAACAGGTTGAAGCATCCCAAGACTTGAAAGCCTTTCTTATAATCACTAACCATTTCTTTCTCTTTTATCTAGCTTTTTTTTTTGGCTGGCATGCATGCATGTGTGCTGTGTGCCGTGTGTGTGTGTGTGTGTGTGTGTGTGTGTGTGTGTGTGTGTGTGTGTGTGTGTGTGTGTTCAGGTGTATGTGTAGGCCAAGGGATCTTCCTCAATTCCTCTTTATTTAGTCATTGAGGCAGGAACTTTCAATCTATCCCAGAGCTTATCAATATGGCTAGTCTGGCTAGCCAGCCTGTTCTGAAGAGTTCCTTTTTCACCTTTCATAGAACTAGAGTTACACGCAGGTAGGTTGCCACACCAACTTGGCATTTATATGGTCCTGAGGATCAAAATTCCAGTTCTCACACTAGACACTGATATATCTAGACATACTAGACACTGATATATCTCCCCAGCCCTTATCTAGCTCTACAAAGGTATAATTTATATTCATCATTGTAATTTCCAACTCTCACCCCCATGATATTGCCAACCACCCATAGATGTCTACCCTCTTGGGTTCTTTCTAGACATTCCAACATCTTTGGAGGTCTTGATGTCTCTCTTTAGGGATGACTTCACTGAATTCTGCTTTTCTTCTATGTTGATTTCAAACCTGACTGGGGCTCCATTCCAAGTCTTCTGATCTTCTTCTCATCTGGAGCATCTCTCAGGATACTTGATAAAGGGCTCAACCGAAGTTTAGTGCTCAACCACTGACTCACAAGCTCACATGTCAGTTCCAAGTCTCTATCTTGAGTTCTACTTTACATGAGAACTTGCTTGACACATCACACCAGAGGATGGCCTACCACTACCTCCAAAGCATAGTGTTTCTGTTAAGTCTAGTCAGGATTGCCCTTCAACTGAAAATGGAAGCATCATTTTCTCAGGCTAGTGGGTGTACCCTCCTTGTGGCAGTCTTCATTTCTGAAGCTCTTACATCAAGATAATCACAACACACCACAGGCTCTGCATAAGAAGCAACTTGTATCTTATCTTTTAGTAGCCTCTGCATCCTTGTATTGACACTACTATTTTGAATCTTCTTTTTCTAAACATTCTTTTCTCTTGTACCAATTACATAATCAACCCCAAGAACAGTTCCCTACATTACCAAACTGTTACTCAAATCCTGAGATCTCTCGCCAGCATTTGATAGTCAAGGCCTTGGCTGCCTGGCTTCTTCCAGATCCCTTGCTAGACCAATCTCACTTAAAAATGTTTCTTAGTTTTATAAACTTCATTATTTATTGCAAATAAATTAAAACATGCCATTCTTGTCAACCTGAATTCACCTACAACAGTTTCTGAGTGCTCACCTCAGCTGTCACCTTTAAAATGGATTCCCCATCCCTTTGCTTTCTTGAAGGACTAGGTCAAGCCTATTTTTTTCAGTTGACTTTGCTGAAACACAGTATCTTAGAATATGATGTTTCCTTTTACTCCTAACTTCTTTGACCATCTAGCTATCTTCTTAAGAGCCCTTTTCTCCTTCACAAGTTCTACCATGATGATCTGCATTAAAACTGTGCTATTTAAAAATGTATTTTAAAGTTTAGCAATACAGGACAACTGTGATGGTACTGCAGCTGGTTCCCAGATACCTAACCCAGTTTCCCTTCTTAACATCATTGCAAGGGATATTTGCCACAACTAAGAAACCTATATTGACACATCGCTACTTACTAAGAAATTTATCTTTAAGTTTATTGCTTTAAAAGTCCATACTTTATTCATATTTCCTTAGGGCTTTTAAAAATATTTATTTACTTTATGTGTGGGTATTTTGTCTGCATGTATATCTTTGTATCGTGTGTTTACCTGTGCATGCAGAGGCCAGAAGAGGACATCAGATCCCCTGCAACTGGGGTTACAGAGAGTTGTGAGCCACCATATGGGTGACAGAAATCAAATTTGGGCTCTCTGGAAGGGCAGCTGTGCTCTTAATTGCTGAACCATCTCTCCAACCCCACATTTCCTTAGTTCTTAACCTAATGTCCCTTTTTTTTTCTAGAGTCCCATTCAGGATACTCCACTATAGTTAGCGGCCACAATTAATTGTTTTGTAACTCATTTTCTGATGATAAATTAAGAGAAATAAAAATTAGACAGGAAAAATAAAAAAAAAACAATTCCTGTCAAGTTGGAAAGCATAATTTCGCCAGAGAATAATATATCTTAATAATTTACCTGCTTAAAATATGCTTTCAGTTGGTTTGTTTATAAAACTATACAGTTTCCAAAAGTGCTAGTCCACTAACATAGTTCCTAATACTTGTACTTTGAAAGAGGGTTTTTATGCTTCTATCAGGACAAACAATTGAATGTAATCAAAATGCAAAACCTATTCTTTAAAATTAGTCATTAGCCAGGTGTTGGTGGCGCACACCTTAACCCCAGCACTTGGGAGGCAAATGCAGGTGGATTTCTGTGAGTTCAAGGCCAGCCTGGTCTACAGAGTGAGTTCCAGGACAGTCAAAGCTATACAGAGAAACCCTGTCTTGAATCCCCTGCCTCAAAATAAACCCAATAAAATAAGTCATTAATAAATTGTTAAAATGAAAGCAACAACAAAAAGGCACCTCTGTCTAGGTCTATGAGTGATATACCCAATAAGAGTTGGATAATAAATTGGCTATTCCCAAACAAACCTACATGAGACTATTTACTACTGACACGACTAGAAGAGAAAGCTCTACAGTCTCTAAACGTAAGACACATGATGTTGTGAAATCTTCAATTTAGGTAAGCAAACTATAAAGAAAGATCAAGCTGCCAAATGTAGAATCTTCTACTACAGTTTCTTTTTCCATATGTAATTTTAAATATTGAAGGAAAAATTTCATCTTCTTCAAAATAAGTACTCTTTTATTCCTGCAAATATTTTTAGAGTATACTTGCCTTGATATGTTCTAACCAATGAGTAGCCTCCAAACTGGACAACCAATGAGATTCTTCAATGTTGGGATAAACAATGTCTTTCACTTTTTTTAAAGATTCACGCATAACATGAATATTATGAATGTCTAAGAAAGAAAGTTCGGCGTTATGATATGCATCATCACTTTCATATCCTCCTCCTGTTGCCTAAGAAACAACAAGTTTACAATCAGTTAAGTTTTCTATTTTATCAGTACCTTAGCCAAAGTATCTCATAAGCTATTTATTTTAAAAATTTTAACCCAAACTCTTCTAATTTAAATAGTTAATGTGATTTTTGACTTCCTATGCAACACAAAGCCTCAACAACCTGAGTCATACTTTGAGCTAGAGAAAAATGCTGGCAATTTCCTGGGGTGTGGGGTGGAGTGGGGACAACTGAATTCATCAGACAGTATTCCCTTCAAAATGTTCTGTAATTACTGGCTCTTCTAGATCTGTAAAAGCAAGAAAAGGTTCTGAAAAGTCCTCCTTCTCCATCAATTTTGTGGCTATTATTGTACTGTTTGGGGAAGGGGTAGTCATATTGATGCAGCAGCAGGCAACTCCAACATGGTAAGCATTCTCACAGGCTATAATGTGTTAGGTAAAAACAGCTTTTATAGTTAGACAAAGGTCAACAGCTCAGCTTCAGTCTCTCCTTACCACATGATCTGGTGCCAAACACTAACCTTGAAGCACCAGTGTCCCATCCTGTAAGGCACGGTTTACTCCCTAGGTATAACAGGACAAAAAGAGCCAGAATCCTTTACAATGGCTAACAGCAGTCACCTTCTGATGAGGCTCTATGATGCTGTGCTTTGTCATTTTACCTCTTACAGGAATGCTACAAGACAGATGTTAATATCCACAATTTGCACAGTGGGAAGTAGAAGCTAAGAGGCTTACCCATTCCAAAGTCATGCAAGTATTAAATAGAATTTAAGTCTGCTTTGATTTCAGCATATAAACCTTTTCTACTGTATCCCAACCATTTTTCTACTATACAAACAGCAAGGACAGAGCTGTATGCAGTGGTTCCACAAGATTCTAAGAGGGACAAGATTGCCACCACCTACTGTATGAAGCACAAAGTTTTGTTGCTGTTGTCTTTGTGGTGCTATGTATTGAACTCAAGGCCTTATACATGCTAGGCAATTGGTCTACTATGAAGTACTTAATAGTATTTACTTGTTAAGGTGGACTTTAGTTAACCACCACAACACTGTGAAAAGTATCCATTTCCACAATGATAAAAAGAAACATTATGAATTTGTTTAGGAACATGGCTGTAGTTTGCTTAAAAGTTTTTGAAATGTCACAGGATAGGTAAATTTGGGCCCTTTAAGAAAAAGTGAAACAGTTCTGAGATTTTTAAGAAGTACTAACTTTAGACTGCCAGTAGGAGGAGCACAGGGAAGTGCCCACATGGGACTGAAGAGGAAAGTGCAATGCAAATGTGTCATCCACACAATAGCCCTCTTTTTCTTCATATCAGTGTTAGGAAGATAAGCCTGCATAGCCAGAGTTGGAACAGCAAAGCAAGCTGGGGGCCCCTGATGCCCCAGGATTACTTATAGAGATTTCTCGCAGTAAAAGTAAGGATATCACCCAAACTTCACACCTGAAAATCTGTGTCAGGCCAAAGGCCTCAGTCTCCAAACACTCTAGAGGAGAAAACATTTAGGCATGAATACTTCTTTCAAGCTTCATTTACCGAGCATCATCAATAAGTTAATGGGAAATGATTCCTTTGTTGTTGGTTTTTTGTTTTTTGTTTTTTTGAGACAGGGTTTCTCTGTATAGCCTTAGCTATCTTGGAACTCACTCTACAGATCAGGCTGGCCTTGAACTCAGAGATCTGCCCGCCTCTGCTTCCCAAGTGCTGAGATTAAAGGCATGTGCCACCACCACCTGGCTGATTTTTTTAAGACAGCATCTCACATTGTATGTACCACAAGTCTACCTAGAACTGACTATCTAGCATAGGCTGGCCTAAAACTCATAGCAATCCTCCTGCTTCAGCATTCCAAGTGCTGAGATAACTGATGTGAGCCACCACACCTATTTTCTATTTTCTCTTTTTAGTCATTGTTTTGTTTTTAATATGAGTGTCAGATCTCCTGGAACTGGAGTTGCAGGCTGTTGTGGCTGCTGGGACCCTAATTTAGTTTCTCTGGAAGAACAGTAAGTGCTCCTAACTACTAAGCCATCTCTCCAGCCCCTACTTGCCATATAAAAAGAGATTTTTGCTAACAAATCAGCAGACAAATGTATTGCCTTCCCCTCTTCCTGGCTGTCTACACTTGTGGAAGAAGGCAGAGTTACTGGCATCTGCCTGGTAGTCCCTTATGTAAACTGCAGGCACAGACCTGATAAGTAAGAGGTTATTTTAGCTAGCTCTGCAAGCCTATATATAATGCAATGACACATCCATTCTCCCATAGACAGAGGGGCTGCTCCTCTGCATGTGTGGCTGTTACATAATTATGGGGAATTTCAGAGATGCTTGACATTAGAGTTCCTTTCATAAGTAACTGAGCATGACGTGTAAAAATAAAAGCAAAAGGAAAAATACATGTTTTAGTCATTGCTGAAGTTTCTGGCAAAACCAGACATTAACATAGCTCTACTTTAATTCAGCACAGTGCTCTGCCCCAAAATAGAAGCCGTGTGGTGCTAGATCTTACCAACCCTGGGTTTTGTTTAAATAAAAATGATGTTTTGTTGCTGATTACATCTAAATATGCACAAGAGAGGAAAAATTATTAGGGGTCAAGAGAACAGAAGTCAGCAAGGGTAAAAATCAATTAGTCAAGCACAGATTGAGTTCCCCAAAGTTCAGATTCTCCATCTCTGGTTACCTTTGAAGTCTTCCTTTTGGTTTTTCTTTCTTCAACGAAAGTGAACAACCCAAATTACCTAGAATATTATAAAGAGCCAAGGGCCTGTTGCTATGGATATAGACAAGTAATGGAGAGACAGAGCCTGGAGGAGAGGTTTTAAGAATGACCCAGAGTGCTTTAAGGCTTAGGTGTTCTGTTTTTTTTCCTTAATATTTTCCCTATTTTCAATCCTAAAAGTACTAGAAACAAAGGCTTATTTTCCCAACAATAAAAAAGGCATTCAAGAATTCTGTTGCTATAATGAGCTTTAGAGTTTAATATAACTAAGGTATTCATTTTACATATTTTAATATTTTAAAATATTATTTCTAAATACTTTACTTTAATGTTACATCATATCTATTTCAGACTAAATAAGTACATGGAATCATTGTATTTTATACATGTGTTCACCCTGAGTTATATATGAAGGATAATTCAAGAAGCTATTTAGATTTAATTTCCTAAATCCTTTACTTGTAATTCCTAATTGACTTACCAATTCAACTTCATGACTGTTTTACACAAAAGTTTGAAATTATTTCTACATAAACCCCAACTGTGTTAACAAATATTTTGTCTAAAGCAAACATGAGGCCAGGGCAGGCAGCCCAGGATTAAACATGTAGGACAGCTGAGTCACATACAAATGGTAAAGAGCTGAGCCCATACACATTCACAGTCTAACACACCCTAGGGCAGACAGGCTTCACATGCATTCCATTTTGGAAATTGCTGGATCTATCTGGGCTGCTCAAGGACTTGCTTTGCTTTCTTATGATGGGTTCTGAATAATTGAAGATGTCAGATAAATGACCTTGGGATGAGCAAAGCATTAAAGATGATGAAATTTAAGTCTACAGCTGAGAATAATAAATCTGAAAGACAGAATTTGGGAATGAGCAACTTGGGGCAGGCTTACAACACAGGTAAAGATGGGAGAATCAAAAACATAAAACCAGAAATCAGGCAAGGTATTTTAAACATCAATACTTGAGAGGCTGAGGCTGGAGGATTGCCATAAATTCTAAGCCAGCCTAGACTAAACAGTGAGACACGGTCTAAACCAACCTGTAGTAGAATATTATTTTAAAGTGTGTTACTTTTGTATATGTTGCATTTGTTTAATTCTGTGAAGCTGTGTTATTGTGCCTGTCTAAAACACCTGATTGGTCTAATAAAGACCTGAATGGCCAATAGAGAGGCAGGAGAAAGGATAGCTGGGACTGGCAGGCAGAGAGAAAATATATAGAAGGAGAAATCTGGGAGGAGAAGAGAAAAGAGATGTAGGAGTGAAGAAAGAAGGAGCTAGAGAAGAAGGTGGGCTCCAGGGACCAGCCACCCAGCTACACAGTAAGCTACAGAGTAAGAGTATGATTTACAGAAATAAGTGAATGGGAAAAGTGCAGAGGTAAAAGGTAGTAGGGGCAATTTAAGATAAGGAAAGCTAGCTAGAAACTAAGACAAGCTAAGGCCCTGCATTCATAATTAAGAATAAGCCTAAGATAAGGAAAGCTAGCTAGAAACTAAGACAAGCTAAGACCTGGCATTCATAATTAAGCCTCCATGTGTGATTTGTTTGGTTGCTGGGTGGCAAGGCTCCCCAAAAGACCAAAGACCAACCAACAAAACCAACCAATGAACCAAAGAAAAACACAAATAAGCCATTACAAGGCAAAACCTCCTTTCCCCAAAACCCTCAAAGCAAGATAGGCCTGTCAATCTTAGGTCACTTATAAAGGGCAAACAAGCTTTTTACAGCTGCTTCTGGGGGCAACACCATACAGTCACTGATGTTTGCAGTGATGACCCCATTCTACTTGAAGTATATTCACATATTCTGTTTCAAAAGGCAAAAAGCCAATTGAGATTTGCTTTAAAAAAAAAGAGAAAAATTCAATTTCTGTGTTTGTGATTATAAAATTCATACATGGACCTACTCATTTCTTCAACTATCTTATATAAATGACAATTTATGGGTACAGATGGTATACATGAGGAAGTCTTCAGGTAAAATTATAAATTTCAGATTTTAATACTAGCAGCTTCCTACAATTACTGAAGATAACCCACCAGTTCACACAATGAGAGTAATCACAGCCACAAGGGATCCAAAGACTATCTTTTGCCAAAGGGTCTAGACAAAGCCTTCTTTCATTATAGTTCTAGACATGCCATTTTATGAAGTCTTGCTTTGGCTTGTATTGGCTTGTTTATTTTGTGTTTTTGTTTAGTTGTTTGCTTGTTTTAGACAGAGTTTTACTGTTTAGTCTTGGCTGGCTTGGAATTCATGGCAATCCTCCAGCCTCAGCCTCTCAAGTACTAAGATTATAGGCTTAAACTACCTTGGATTCTCCTGCCTCTGTCTCCATGGTGCTAGGATTATGGCTGTTACCACTGTATATGACTAGGCTTAATGTTCATAATATTTCTTTTGTTATTGTTCATTCATTCACTTCTTTGGAGATAGGGTCTAATGTAAGTCAAGTTTGCCTAAAACTCATTATGTAGCTGAGGATGATTTTGAATTCATGTTCCTCCTGCCTCCACCTTCCCCATGCTAGAATTACAGGTATGTTCCCAGTGAGAGCCTGGCTTAAAAAATAATTACATAAAAATTCAAAATAAATTCACATATTGATATACTATGGAAAAACCATTCATGGAAAACACTGCAGTTCATGTTAAGTTAGGTTTTCATTGACTACACTCACCTTGTTGGCCACTGCATTTACACTGGGTCGTGCATCATAAATCGTGAGCTTAGAAATTTGTCTGTTAGTTTCCCTGATCACATCCAGGTATTTCTCGTCATCTTTGTTTCTTTTACCACTCATACCGACAAGAGGCTGACTGCAGCGCATAATGACCATCTTGTTTTCTGGATGAATCCATGACAGTACCTACGGTTAGTTCAGAAAGTTTAATCTAGCAAGTCTCCATAGATCATTAAAACTGACAATCATGACAAAGTGAATCAGTGCTGAAACTGGATACTTGCTTACTAGTAATTTTTTAGTGTGTGTGGCACCAGAACACACACATTTAACACAACTGCTCAGACACAATCAGAACAATCAGGTTTACCAGCCTTTCTTTTAAGATTAACACTATAAATTGATGCTTACAACAACAAAAATGAATTATTGTAAGAATGTAGAAAGTGTTTGCTGTTACTAGAATTTGGTAGCTTGAACTGAACATGTTATTATATGAAAACAACTTGAACAATAAGAGATGGGCAAAAGCAATCATTGCACTGCCCATGGTGGTAACTTACATCTACCAGTTCTTTCCCAAGAGTCTCAATTCTAGAATACAACATAGGAGGAAGAAAATACTAGGGAAGCAAAGAAAGATTTGGGTGGCCAAGAGAGCTACCACTATCCACTTTGAAGTCTAGATCCCCAAGGCCTAAAAGGGCATACGTGGCCCACCCTCAGAGTCAGTCTTCAACTGACTGGCAAGCCTGGCCCATGTGATGCTGGGCTTCTCAGCTCAAAGCATATGAAAAACTGTGCACATAAACAGTAGTTGATAACATCCTACAAAGTACTGAGCTGTATACTGCTGGTGTTAGCATTTAGGCATCTGTACTGGCCTGCTCTTAGGGTCCTGACAGGATATATCCTCAGCTGCAGCCACTAAGAGCACCCCTTGTATGCATTTGCTATGTTTCCTTATAAAAGGGGGGGTTTTGCCAACCTCCAGTATCTTTCTCTTCCTTCACTCTCATCCCCAAGGACCCATCTCTGCACCTTCTCTTCCCTCCCCTCAATAAACCTCCCATGTGGGCCTGTTGTACAGTGTGATTCCTTCCCACCATGTTAAAAATACAACAGCAGGTACTTCTGAAAATGTGGGAGAAGCCTAGTTTTCATTTTCATTAGCCAAGTTGGATAACTGTAGTGGACAGCAGTGTTTGATACTTCAAAATGGCTCAAGTGCTCCCAACACAAAGTAATGATAACTATTTGAGGTGATGAATATGCTAGTTAGCTTGAACTGGTCACTACAGTATATTTTTTATATATATATATATACTTATATAGTACACTGAGCCCTATAAATATGCATAACCACAGTGTGGCACTGAAAAATCAACTGTGAATGTTTGTGAATATGAAAGATATGTGGAGAGCAACCAGTTTTCCTGTAGTGCTACGCTCAGGCACTGAACTCTTGGCCCTCCCTAGTCAGATGGAGAAAATAATAATGACCTCAGATGACTGCAGGGAGGACAAAAGAAGAATGCCCATAAAGTATGCAATAAATGTGAGCTCATATTAGCTTCGAGAGGCAGAATCCATAGCCAGCAAAATCAGTTCCAAAAATGATTTTGGAAATACAGACACAAGGATGAAACAACATAATCATTTGGGCTCACTTAATATAAGATCAAATATTCTGATGACTTTGAAGCTATTCTTCTACGATGGCAAGTGACAAACATAGAAGCTTAACAATACAGTTTTATTATGATGCTGTGAGCTTCTCACTTCTGAAAAATTATCACATAATAAGAATATGCGTTTGTTCCCAGAACAAATATCTGAGTCCTTGTGCCATGCTAGAGATCAGCCCATGCCAAGGAGGCTCAAACCTTAGGAAGCCCTGGGAAATCCACTGGCCTACCTTAAACCTGCATCTTCTAACCCATAGTGTGGGTCTCAGATCTGCCCATCTACTTCCTATGACCCGTATAAAACTGTGCTTGTCTGAAACCTGTCATGAGTGTACTCATGAGGCCCACTTCCCCTGAGGGCTTAAAGGTAGCCTACAGTAGCTAGGGGACAGTGGCTCATTCTGGCTTTTTTACTTTTTGTGCATGTATGTTTTGCCTGTATGTATGCCTGTGCACTATACACACGCCTAGTTCCTTCAGAAGCCAGAAAAGGGTGTCTGATTCCCTGGAATTGATGTTGTGAGTCACCACGTGGGTGTTGAGAATCAAACTCTGGCCTACTGCCAAGAGTAGTTTGAACTCTTAACCATCGAGCCATCTCTCCAGTTTCCTGGCTACCTTTAAAAAATTGTATTTGATGTAGAAATGACTGGAAACAAATTGTGATAGTACTTTATTTTAAATTATCTAGTTTATATTATTACTATTAAAATTAATTTTGAGAAGCCATCATAATTAAAAAAATGTAGTCACTAAAAGATGTTTTTTACAGTATTATTTATTTGGAATTTTTAACATTTATTTATTTATATTGTGTGTGGGGTCATGTGAGTGGGTGGGCATATGCCACAGAGCATGTGCAGAGGTCAGAGAATGAATTAAGGGAGTTAGTTCTCTCCTTCTACCATGTCAGTACCAGGAATCAAACTCAGGCTGTCAGGCATGGCAGCAAGTGTCTTTATTCATTGAACAATCTCCCTGGCCCATAGCATTGTTTATAAGAGCGAAAAGTCAAAAAGGACCTAGAAATCTTACAGTAGAAAACTGATTAAATCATTGCACAACTAGACACTAATGTATGAACTGTTCATGAATAGTTAAGGTTAAGATATATTGCTAGGGAAGAAAAGTAGTCTGAGATCCAAATTAAAGGATAATTCAGTGCTGGTTCTTAATAGGTGGCAGGCTGGTTTTGCTTACCAGTGTTTTCTAAATATCTCAAATGAGTACATATCACTTATCCATTAACAGCTTCTATAAAATTAAGACAATCTTGTTTGTTTGAGAAAAGGAATATGCATCTGTTAACAAAAACAATGCAAGTGCATGAGTTCTCTAACCAGTGGTATTTTATTATAATGTGTACCTAATTTGTGTTTAAATGAGATATTTCTCACAACTATTTTTGTATTTTTATGTTTATTTTTAAAGGACTACATAATACTTATGTTTTCCATAACTGGCATATCCATTTTCTGGACAAATGTTCTGAGACCTATTGTCAACAGTCACACAATCAGAAGGTATGTTAGGAACAGTATATGACCAAGTTTATAATACATAATAGATCATTATAAAAATAAATATGACAACTTAGCCTTAATATTTTTTAAGAAAAAACAAGTTGGTAACCTCACAAAGAGAAAAACAATAACATGCTAATTTTTTCCCTACACTGAACTCTCTTACTCATGAAGAGCAACAGGAACTATAGGAACATGGTAGTAGACTGAGGTCAATGGCTTAGGCACAACTGTCTCATTTCTTCTCCTGTCCCATATGCCACAAAACAGACAGACAGACAGACAGACAGACAGACAGACACAGAGTATTCTACAAAGCAGATGTTCAATGAAGACTGAGTAGATAGTGCACCAAACCCATACATACCACACTAGCACAGTTCTCCCTTTCTGGTATAGGCAAGGCACATATCAAAAGACAAGTGTCTTGTGTCATAGTAGTACAGTCTGCTGCTCTAATACAGAAAAGCATGTCCAAGTGCAGCATAAGACCTACCTTCTAACTCTAGCTTCACATTCTACTAAAGAACATACTTTCAAGTATAATTTTATCAGGAGGATATGAACAGACACTAATCAAAGAAGCAAATGAAATTAGCTGACAATATATGAAGTTTTCCCAAAAAATATCCTTTTAAGGACAAGAATGTCTACACATAGAAGTCAAAGGCAAGGTGAAATTAAATCTTAATTTCTTCAAACATTTTTTTAAAATCTAGTAATTTGATGCAAAACCCAATGTACTTATTATGACAGCTCTTGAAAATTAACAGGGGAAGAAAAAACAATCTCTAAATTTTTAGGCAATAAAATTTATGTACCTAGTAGAAAGTATGACATGTTCATAAATATTTAAGGACTGCAAAAGAACTTTGTGAGCTAGGCTCAGTAACATGGTAGCATAATGTCTGGAATAATCTGTACTTGACTCCAGTTCATTAAGGGGATTGAGGCACCCTGCAAACAGGATGCAGATAAGCACATCCTAGGGTCAGCATAAAAGCCTGCACTAACACAACACGTTCTAATAGTTGAGTCCCTTCTTTGCAGCACAGTTTAACTAACATTTAGCAATTGCCTGTATCTTGTCAGGTATCATGCCATAATGAAGACAACAACCAAGAGCCTATCCTTTCTTTCCTACATCATTGAGTTGAGTGGTGCCACTCTCACTGGTACTCTCATTTAGAACTCCTTCCCTGTCTTCCTTCTGCAACCTGGATTCAGAGCTCCTAGAAGGCAGGTGTTCGTTCTTTTCCTATTTCACACAGTGCTACACTTGCAGTAGGCCCTTTGGTAATTACTCATCAGAATGAAACTCTAGAAAAAGAATGCTCCTCTGAGTTATATGACTGCAGTTCTTATGAAAGAAAAGGCATTCTCTGGGAGAAATGTGACATGGTACTCACAGGAATCCGATTTCGGGATCTAAAAGTTGCAACTCTCCTGAGATCATCATCTGAGGTCTGATAGGGAACCACTAAAAGAGCAGGGTATGTGTCACAGAGTTCATAGCACTTATTAATAAAAGTTATCCTCCAGTGGTGATTAGGTAGGCCCTGCAGGACAAAAGGAAATGTAAATCAACATGAAATGACTTCATCTCTGCAATATCTGGGCTCTTTCTTCCTTCTAACATTATGTGCCCATCTCTCTTTAACCACAGAGTGATTGGCAGCCTACTTATTTACAATAAGGATGTCAAATCAATGATATAGACAACATGAGCACATGGACAAAACACTAGTTGTTTCCAGAACTGAACTATCTCTCGTAACTGTAGGTTCTATGGAATATGAGGTCTTCCTTTATTTCATGTAGACATATTCTTTACTCTGTGCAATACAGATAAACCTAAATTCATCTCCTAGCCATGCACCCCTCCCCCTCCATTCCAAAGCAAAGTACCATGGGGAGTGTTAACCTATGTCTCCTTAAGGGTAGCAACTTCCTCTCCCTGCTCCAAATAAGACAGAGAGATGCAGTCTGCTCCCAAGAGAAAAGAAGGTAAGCCCATGAGAAAAAGCACTGGGGGGAGGGAAAGGAAACCCCTCTGGGGAGGCTCATTTCGCCACCTCCGACAAGTTGTTTAAATCAAGAGGCTAGAGACCCAGGATCATTCTGTAACTTGTGTGAGGAGTGAAGTCATTTTAAGCAGACTGCTAGTATGATAGGGAGACACAGAAGCCACCCCCACATCCACTATGGACAATAACCAGAGGTGGTGGAATATTCTCTCCCCATACTCACAAATGCACAAATACACACATGAATGTGAGCTAGGTGGGTGTTTGCTTTGGGGACAGACATTGTACCTGTTCTTTAGGTCTGGCCCTATGTACCACGACCAAACAGATGTTGAGTCTGATGCTGAGTCCAATTAGAGAGTTTTAAGTCCCATCAGAAAGTTACAAGAAAAAAAAGATTGAATATAATGGCAGTCTATAACAAAATACCTTCAGAAGTTCATCTATGCATGCAATTCTTAAAAAAACAGGAAATGTTTTGTTTTAAGCTAGAAGTTCAAACTACAGAAAAGTCTTACTATTGTTAACTAATGATAAATAAGGTAAAATACTTTCATACACCAAGTGAGAGAGGTTTGTTCCTAAATTGTGAACAATATTCTAATGGTCTTTCTTCCATCTCAGTTGTCAGTATAGAACAGAGGACATTAAAATGAAAGGTATACACCCTTTGAAAAATCAGTAGTCTAAAGTTGATTCACAGGAACCCTCCTAACTGTGTTCTAGAGAAAAACCTCCCTTTATCTACCCCGGGTATAAAATCTGCTTATGAGTATGCAAACCACTGATCAAAACTGAAAATGGAAGTCAAGCAGGGTCACAGTGGTCACAGGCTAGGAAGTTCTTCACAAGCTTAGGGTTCTGGAATAGTACTTTGTGTTCATACAAATCAACTGGCTCTAATTTGATTCTTGAAAGCTCATTTCATAACATTTTCAAATTATAATAGGAACCTCATAGAAGAAATATGAAAAATTCCATTGCAAAACTCCTAGCTGTACCACAGAATTGGTTATATTAGAAGTCAAACTGTAGCTCTGTTACATAATATGCTTGTTTGTGACATTCTTCATAAAAGTTCTTATATTTTTCCTTACTATGTGTAGGGTGTGTATGACATGTGCGAGCACATGATGCACATGTATACACAAGTGTTGATATTTGTAAGTACACATAAGAAAGCCAAATGCTGATGTCAGCTCTCTTCCTGTATTGTTCTATACATTATCTTTAGAAACAAGGATCTCACTGAACTTGGAGCTCCATGATTGGCTAGACTGGCTGGCCAGAGAGCCTCTGGGATCTTCCTGTATCTCCTCCAGTGCTGGGATTACAGGTCTAGGCTGCCACATTTGACTTTTTACATGGGTTCTATGAATCCAAGCTCAGGTGCTTAAGCTGCAAACACTTTACTTATTGAGTCAATTTCCTAGCCCAAACCTCATGCTCTTATAACAAATGAACATTACACTTAGATGACATTTATATGAGAGCATAATTAAGCTGTTTGTGGATACTATACATTAATTATAAGAATACATTCTAACTAAAGAATTCTAACTCATTTGAATCTGTAATTCAGAACATATACAAATTAAATAAAAAAGATCAGTAATATTTAAGCTTACACACACACACACACACACACACACACACACACACACACACACACACACAAAGTAATGTATAGAGGTTTGACTTTTCTAGACCCTAAGTATTTGACTTATTTTATAAACACCACAAAATGGATGTTCCTCACCTAGGAACTTGAATATGGCTACAGAATGAGCTTGCTAGTTACAAAAGGAAAATAATGAACAATATTATACAAAATGTAGATGATACCTCAGCCATGGACAGATATTAGGCAAGGCTGTTATTTATTCTGAGATGACCAACAACAGAATGTCCCTATGCATGTCTGCAAGTCAACACATAGCAGACAACAGAATTTATTGACTTACCTGCCTTCTGTATTCTTCAACTGGATTATAAACAGTCCACCCATCCACATTAAACTTCTCTTCATTTAAAAATGCAAATAATGGCTAGAAAAGGCCAGAAACAAAAGAATTTCAAGTTCGGTGTGAAGCAATAGTCTATTTGAAAAGTTCATACTTTTCACAAAATAAATTTCACAGATTTGCTAACCATGAAATTTCAACCCAACTTGAGACTTACAACAAAGAAACAACTGTGGAAAATTCAGATCAGCCTTACGCTAACTTACATTTTTCAGGAATAATTACTTTTGAAACCTCAATGTTCTATGGCTACAAATGTCACCTGTTTTTTAATGATGTTACATACACACAAACACACACACACACACACACACACACACACACACACACACAAACACACATCAGATTTCCATACTAAAAAGTATCTATGAATATTAAATACTATTATCAACTGATCAGTTAAAAGCCACTACAAATAAAAGAAGAAATTCAAGAATAATTATTAAACAGTGCACCTGTCTCAAGAGAGTATCATGACATGTTTATCTATTTAAAGGGAGACAGAACATTAGGAAACATTTAATTAACTGCTCTCTATGAATTCTGAATCAATGTTCTGGCCTCTGAAATGACAGGACTCTGACCTCTCAAGGCACTATTGATGAATTTCCCAGCTTCACATACCTTCTGTCCCCCAGTGAACATTCTAGCCTTGCTCTGGAAGTGGCTATCTACATTTCAACTCCACAACCTCCAGGCACCTCAAAGGCATGGAGTGGGAGTAGGGGTGGTGACTCTAAGGCTAACACCACAAACCAAACTCCTGGCTCCACCTCAATAGTCCAGTTCTTCCCAGTCTCTTCAGTTTAGCCAATGAGAACCCCATCCTCCTAGGTTATTGAGCCAAGTACTGTACTGCCAGTCTTGTCATCACCTGTGGTTGTATTTTACTTATACTGAAATGTGATTTTAATTGTATGTTAATAAATAAAGTTGCCTGGGGGTCAGAGCTATTAGAGCCATAGCAAGTGCGTGGCAGCGGTGGCGCACGCCTTTAAGGACCTGGAGGGCGGTACATACAGGCAGTGATGAGGCAGTCACGTGTTTGGGTTTACAACCAATGAGAATACAGAACAGCTAGACTATATAAAGACATACAGACAGGAAGTAGGTCCCTCTTTCGGAGAGCTCTCTTGACTGAAGAGGATCGCTGAAGCAGGAAGGGTGAGGCTCTTAGCTCTGACCTCTTGGCAACTTTATTAACATACAATTAAAATCACATTTCAGTATAAGTAAAATACCACCACATTTCTTCTCTGAATCGGCTCTGTGTTTCTTATTTGATAAGACGGTTGGTTATATCTACAATCACCTGCCTACCCCTCTGATCTCTCACTTGACTTATCACAGTAACTCTGAATTATTACCATTTTCAACTGTATGTCTCCAAGATCAGAGCAACAATTCTATAACATTAAGTTAGATCAAGTCATTCCCCTGCCAAAATCATCCCATGGCTTCCTGTGGTGATATTGTGTTCCCCAATATATTTTGCACCCTGATAAACTTAACTGGGTTCAGAGGACAGAACAGCCACTAGATAGACATAGAGGCCAGAAAATGGTGGCACACACACCTTTAATCCTATCACTTGAGAGGCAGGGATCCATCTGGATCTCTGTGAGTTCAGGACAACACTGGGAACAGAGCCAGTTGTGGTGGCACACAACTTTAATCCCAGCACTAGTTAACCATAAAGGTCTGGAGGTCTATATAGACAGACAGGAAGTGACAGAGCTGAGCTGGAAGAGGAAATGATGTAGCTGGGCGGAGAGGAAATGAGTTGGTAGAACAGAAAGGCATATAGGCGTGGCTATACAGGAAGTAAGTCTCTTTGGAAGCTGCAGAGTTGGTGAGGTGAGGTTAGCTATGGCTTTTCCTATTCTTCTGATCTCTCAGGTTTTAACCCCGATATCTGGCTCTGGGTTTTTTATTAATAAGACCATTTAGCACTTCGTCTTACAGCTTCCCATTTGGATCATGGAAAAGTTGGAGTCCTTCTAATGGCCCACATGGCTGTCTGCCACCTGGCCACTTCTGGACCCTCTATACATAGTTACTAAAACAGACCTTGGTCTAAAACACATATTTTTTTGACTGAGTAGCACAGTGAATCCATGAAGCACCTGCAAATCCTGGAGATGCTGTGGCTGGGTGATTGTCCAATAGGTATCCATCTCCCTATCCATTTTCTTCTGTAAACTACTCTGAATGTCAGTGTCCCTTCCCCTGCATTACATAGAATTTCTGGAAAAGTCTTTGCAGCAAGTTTTCTTTTAGGGTAAAAACTAATCACCAACATTCTGGAACTTAATATCTTCTTGAATTTTCCTAAGCATGTGACACTCTTGGTGGCTCTCAAGTCTAACAGTGTCAGACCTAAGTGCTATATTCCATAGTATATAGCATGCATCTCACATATTAGCCATGGCATGGACCACTTAAGAAACTGACCAAGGCCCCAGCCTGACACTGATTTAATGCTTAATTTTTCAATGCCAGTGGAGAGAAGAAATGAAGTCTGTTAACAGATGTTTACCTCGGACTTTGGTGAAAACAGCACTAATATACATAGTGGACTTCTCTAATCATTAGCAGAAAGTCTGGCACACAATTAAGCAGTTTATTGGTGACATATCATCACTCTGAACACCTGATACCATCCTGGTCAGTACCTGGTATGAGTAAATACTCACTATCCCTAAATGCTATGCTCTGGGCAGAGTTGTAGATGGCAGATAATTTGAGAATTAAGGATGTGCGGCTATAGACTTTTGAAGAAAACAGTTTTTTTTTCTTATTGAAATAAGTTCCTCACCTCTGCATGACTTTAGTGGCCTCAATTTACTTCTTTGCATCTCTCTCATGAAGCAGAAGTGAACATGGAAACACTTTCAAAATAAATGCTATTCCTGAACCAATGGCTTAGATAAAGTTTTTCTAGAGAAATAAAATGTAGGAATGTTCTTAATAGGTCAGTAGCACTTTCTAGGTACATTACTATTTCTTAATCTTTGATACTAACACTTGTTGCCTTGAGCATTCCTTAATGTATTTTATATGAAAATTATTAGAATATTAAAGCTATATGGTTCGAACTGCCACCATCTCTGTATTATCCTCAACACCTTAGACTAAAGAGAAATCAACATACAGGCAATGCCATTTTTTTGTCATTAGTACAAAAACAAGACAAGGTCTCCATCAGCTATCTATCAGATGGCCTTTCTCAAGAAATTCCTTCTACAATGACACTTCACATTGTGAACTGGGTCACAGGAGTATCCAACCTGCAGCTAGTGCATGTGTCACACAATAGCTGTCAAAGTGGTTAACACATTTGTAGGTAACACCATGTTTCAGTGTGAACTCTCTCCCCTCCCTGTAGAAGGCAGCAAAGAACTGGTGACAGGAAGAGCTCCTCATTTACTCTTGAAGCTAAGGGCCAGATTCACAGCTCAAATATTTTGGAAAAAAAATTTTGAATCACGTAATTGCTAAAATTTCTCTTCAGGAAATAATATAGCAACATGTGTGACACTGTATCAGAGCCTGGGGTGGAAAGCACTATTTTCACAATTCCAACAAATTAGCTTTGAATTCTAGGGAACTATGTTTTAAAAAGCATTCCATAAACCATTTGGCTCAAGTAAAGGAACCATTCTAGAACAATAGATGCTTATAACTTTCAAAGTAGAACTACTGGGATTTTTCTAGATGTTTTGTTTTTTTCTTAAAGATTTAGATAAGGGAAAGAAGCAAGAATTTTACAATGTAAACTCACTGTTACATAACATGAAGTCAAATAATTACAGAAAATAAAACAAATATTAAGTGGGTAATCTAAGTTAATGGAATCCATACACCAGTATATCATTAGAAAGTACAAAGTCCCCCACAAGGGGTAACTTATTACCAACCTAACTCAAGTACCTCTCTGAAAAACGTTTTAACCTGAAGTTAATGGGTTACCTGACTTGAGATTTTCAGCTAGCATTTTATTTTCTCTTCTAGACAATAACTTTAGAGTTTTGAGGTCATTAGTATTTCATTAGTGAATTGACATTCCCAAATATAACCTTGGGTGGGTCTGGTTTTGACTCTCTGAGAAGTGAAGTCTCATTGAGAGAACATAACCAGGTCTAGAGCACTTTCTATTCCAAGCACCAAGCATGCAGTGCCATTTGCTTAGTAAGTGAGGATGTCATCTACTCTCTTGATTATTTAAGCACTGATTCAATTTCTTTGCCTATAGAAAACTCAAAAAGGATTCAGTCCTAACCTAGTAAAGTCAGAAGAGTGACATGTTTTGCAAAGAATTGGTGATGTGTTGTTGGTCAGTGTGCTCTTTGTAGCTTCCTTCTAGGGTGTGGTCCTTCCCCAACCAGGGTTCTTTCTTAGAACTGGGGTATGTTTGGCAGGTTCCGTTTCAAGATACACATGTCCCACCTTACTTCTAGGGAACAAAAATCTTTAAGGTCTGTAAGAGCTAACTTCCCTCCTGCCATGGTCCTAGAAGGGCAGGTAGCCTATGGAAGAATGCTTAAGAATTTGTATGTAGTCAAGTTATGGCTCCTACTTAAAGTTAGAATCATAGGATCACAGATTTACAGAGAATGTAAAGGGGGACTCCATGTACTGTGGTGGTATTTTACTTGTACTGAAATGTGATTTTAATTGTATGTTAATAAATAAAGTTGCCTGGGGGTCAGAGCTATTAGAGCCATAGCAAGAGCGTGGCGGCGGTGGCGCACGCCTTTAATCCCAGCACTTGGTAGACAGAGTTAGGTAGATCTCTGTGTGTGTTCAAGGTTACAGCCAACATTGGAGACACACGCCTTTAATCTCAATACCATAGAGGACCTGGAGGGCTGTACATACAGGCAATGACGAGGCAGTCATATGTTTGGGTTTACAACCAATAAGAAGGCAGAACAGACAGTCTATATAAAGACGAACAGACAGGAAGTACCTCCCTTTCAGAGAGCTCTCTTGGCTGAAGCAGGAAGGGTAAGGCTCTTAGT